TGTAAGAATGTTAAACTGTCGAAAAACCTGTGCCAAACTATTTGTTGCAATGCAATAAAATAAACGAAAACCCCATTTCAATTTTGCATGTTTCAACGTTTCGCGCAACATTTTATCTGATTCGAATGAACCATATGGTTTTTGCACGCTCACGAAATGCAGATTGTATGCATTTTATTAAAATTCATCAAGAAGGAAAAAAAAGCGTGAGTCGGAAACACTGAATGCACGTGCATTTTTAGTCCTTAGCCGACTTGTTTTGTGCGAAAATAGAAACTTCAAATCGTGTATCACCAGTTTGACAGCAATTACATATTTGTAAAAATTATATCCGTAGATTGACTAGTGACGATAAAAGTGTGTAACAACAGTAAAACGAGTGGCAGCGAAAGAGAAAAAAATCGCTTTATGTCAGATAATTACCGCATTTCAAATAATTGCATCGTATTGCATCCGATTGATCGCAAATCTATGTACGCACAAATGACGATAGCACAAGAGCCAATGCCGAAGAAAACAAAAAAAATAAAGGAAAAACACACGATCGACAGAAGAGCAGAGAAAAAAGTGCGCACCGCGACACCAGAACAACATAATAAAACTTGTTAGACAAATGTCGATTACATGAAATGTTTTTAGCTTAGAGCATTGCGTCGCATTTTGCGATTAACACTGCATAACCGCATTTGGAGCAATAGAGAAAGAATGAATTATGGTGATCGATTCAATAGCGACAATGGACGCACTAATGCCGTAATCGTTGATTATGTGATATGGTTTTGTACGCGCTTTCTTTCAATGTGCCGTGTATTGCGCCGCTTTCGATTATATGAAGAAGCGGTGTGCTTATTATTGTTGCATAAAAATGCAGAAGAAATATGATGGCAACGCAGTGCGACTGCTACAATTTGTCATAATAGGCAGTGAAAGTTTTTAATTTACTTTGATTTTGTTTAAAGTGTAGCAAATGTGCGCATTCGGCTGGCAAAGACCTTACACTGATCCATTTCATCATGTAATGAAGGCGAACGAAAAAAATTAAATCAATGCACTTGAGCACTTTGTGCCGTCGTTGATCAATGCAAGTTCAAAGGAAAGCAATGACTTCACAAATGTGCGTTGAATTGAATGTGTGAGTGTGTTTGTGACGCTTGAATAGTGGAAAAATATTTCATGCGCGAATTCTTGCTTCGCCAAACGCTTGATCGTTTACTCGGCAGATTTCATTCATATATTTGAAGACTGAGCGCAAAAAAATGCAATTTTTTTCGACGCTTCATTTTTTCCGTGCTCAGGTAAGTGCCTTTTTGATTATTTTTTTTTTGCAACTAACGACATACAACCACTTGAGCGCGTGCACGGCTTTTGTGAACTACAACAATTTTTTTTTCTTCTTTCATCGCCTTCGTCATATCGTCGAATACATATTTTGTCGACGCGATGACTGATAAAAGTAGAAGTGTTTGTTTGAGTGTGAGAAAAAAAATATGTTTTCGAGTTCATGTCTCAAGTTTATTAACGCAAATTACACGCGCGCTCACACTCACTACTGTATCTTTGTATTGGCAGAAAAAAACTCGCGCACACACACACATAAACTAATAACTTTTCTCGAAATAGACATTCATTAACGATGGCTACGAGAAAGAAATTGCAATAACAAAACAAAAGAGTTACTCACAGAATAAAGTTCATTCACATGAACAATGATGCATAGCTTGCGACGAATTCAATTGAATGAACTGCTTTTTTAACAAATGCAAAAGTTCAAATCAATGTAATTAGATGAAAATTTTATCGCGCGCGAACACATATTTTGGTTGGTGGTTAAAATCTATGCCCATTCTGGAAGCACTTTGCCATACACCATTTTTTCTCTTGTATGTACAATTTACGAGTATGGCGATCGGGGCAAATGAAAATACCCATTGATTGCTACCTTCTCAATTAATGCTTGCTAACACTGAAAGCTTATGACTGTAGTCTGCAGATAGAGTTAAAAAGGTCACGACTAGTAAATTAGCTATTGGGCGAAATGTATGCAATCAAGCGTCAATCAGCCCGATTTCAAATCGCAATTTTATCGGCACACTCGCGCAAAAATAAACAGATCAGGAAATGGCTGGCACGTGTTACCTCAAAGCCAAATTCTATTCACGATACCATTTTTACTGCCTTGTAATTTTTCGCCCATTTATATTTTTTTTTTCTCCGCCGCAAACCAATCGAGCTAGTTCATTCATTTCGAGTCTCGATCGCACTCAATATTTTGATTTGTATAATAAAATGGATTGTACAGAACTGGAGGTGTTTTATTTGGTCTTTTGCTCTCTCTCCCAAAGACATGTGTTCCAATCAAATTCGTCAATATTTACCGTGTCGGCGAATCAAACGATTGGATTTTCTATTTTATGTGCAAAAGGAGGGCTATATTCAAGTGATTTTCTGGTGAGGAGATGCGTGTCAGCACCGACGTAATTTTTCCGGAAAAGATTTTACAAATATTTTTTCTTTGTGCGATGCACTAAATCCGTCGAAAAATAAAGTAACGAACAATGTTCGATTTAATTTGAATTTTCGAAAAAAAGCCGAAAAACGCGATAATGCAAATATCAACTCACTCTGATAACGAGGCAAGTTTTGATAATTATTGATAAAATCACGCAAATTGAGATTTGTTAATTTTTATTTAAAATTTCGTGTAGAGCGCAATAAGAAGCCGTACTTTTTCAAGAATATAATTTACTTGCGTGGCTTCATAAAATCAATCAGATATAAAATAGACATTTTTATTATCACATTTTCATAAAGATCGAATAAAGCACAACGAAACCGAGTGTTGTTAAAAGCAAAACAAAAACATCACATTTTGAAGCGTCTCTAATTGCTGATGATGTTGCATATTTAATTCACTGAGTGAGCGAAGTAAGAAATCAATTGATGATGCGAACAGGCGATAATCAGTAGGAGGTGTAAATGTAATTTAGTATTTCAGTGGAGATATTGCATCAATCACACCATATATATCCGCCAAAACATCAACATCATTTTCTAAATTTGAGATGGATTAAGTTATAGATTTAGATTGAGTTTTCTGTTGAACTCTAATCGTCTAAATGATTCAGTAAAATATGGTCTTTCCGTATGGTAATTTAACATAAACACAATTTGTTCGTGCATTCAACAAGTTATTGCGTGTGACTTACAATTGAAGGGTGCAAGTGTCTCCAAATACAACTGACGGTTAGAAGAGAAAAAAATCGTTAACCGTCAAGAATATGCAAAAGCTCATCCTGGTAGATATCATCACATAATTTATTATTATTATGTTCACTACCTGTTGCATGCTCGTTAGAGGGTCAATAAATGTTCGTTCTCATCCCCCATTTCAAAATTCATTTTCCCATAATGTATTGAATATACGGTGAAAATTTTCAGACGATCATCATTTATGATGGTGGTTACCTGTTCGTCTCATGTTTATTCATGAAACCTGTTGCAATGTCGTTACTAAACTCTGACCTGTATGATTCACATAAAAGGCGCTCTCATTCGTCTTTCCCAATGGAAACGTCGGTTAATTATTTACATTTGAACAAATTACGCATATTTAAAACATAATAATTTCAATTCAGCGGCAACATTTTCATCACACATAAATTCATTCGAATGAGTGTTTATATTGAAAAGGGGGAATCGTTCGTCCAAAGCAAACAAAATGTAAAATATGTAATTGATCAAACGTTTTACTCATCAAAGTATTTTTTTTTCTTCTTCGTTTTCGCTGTCGTAGTCGTTAATTTTCCATACTTAGAAAACGTGGTGCAATTTATACAAAAGAAGTTTGTAATAACAAAATTCTAAATGATGTGGTTATATAATGTCATGGAAAAGTGAGCACAACGTCTTTGCATGTTCAATACACATCCTTGAGAAAGTGAAAGAAGCACAAGAAAAGAAAATCAACAACGAAGACGAACAGTCGATCGCATAGTCAACCCTCATAAATATGCGCACACTACTAACTAATAAGCGCGTACATTTCGATGGAACGAAGAAAGAAAGGTAGATCTAGATCTCAATTTTAATTTAGAATAGCAATAAGCAATATCCGTAATATATGTTAATGTATGTGAATATGTGCTGGTTTTTTCCTGGTTTTGTGTTAATAAATTGCGTGTAACATTGCATTTATTGTCTTGGTTAGACGAAAATGAATTGAAGAGATCGAGAGAGAGAGGTGGGAGATAGATAGAACAAAAATACGTTACAAGATTCATAAATAAAAGTTACAATAATAATGCGCGTCGGAATAATGAAAAGAAGAGGGGAAAACAATATAGAATGGGATGGGTTGGGAATGGTATGGGATCGCTTGCATTTTTCTTCAAGACGTTTTCGGTTTGCATTATGCTTAAGAAAACGTTTTGACATATACGCATGCGATAAGAAACGCGTGCATCCGTGAAAGGCGAAGTGTTATTTTCTTAAAACGTCTTGTTTTCCCACCGTCATGGGAGAATGGCCAAATTTTCTTCACACTCGTAATGCGCTCTCAACTAGAACCCCATGCCCATAAAAATACCATCTTCTTATTCTTCTTAAGAATCAAACACAATCACATACACATAACTCCACTTCGTCGAATATTCTTCGCGTTCAACAGACAAAATTAAAATTCTGAACTTGAGTTTTTTTTTGCATTTAATTATGTAAGTGCCGGCCAATGATTTATAGTTTTTTGTCTAATATGTAGAACAAAATGAACTTTTCTCATTCAATTACGAAATTCTCTGTTGACTTTATGATACGCAAACTTGGTTCTGTTTACGATTAATTCATGCGATTGTTGATAACGCTCAATGTAAGGAAACTGAGATTTTTTTTACAGCGTGTGAACATTCTGGGGAAATATTTTCTGTTTTTTTTTTCTCATTTGATGATTAGATTAATTACTATGAAAGGGATATTCAAAGATAGTGTACTAGACTATTACTTACATCTTCATTTTCTATATATGAGTAAATGTTGAGTTTGTCAATGCGTACGGTTCCTTGGAATGGATAATATAGTTCTCCCTGCTTGATTCTTGTCGATGACCATACCGATACGGATTGTTCGCCTGAATTGCGTGCACCAGCTGCTGTCACAGCCAGTGACAACTCTTGTGGAATTAAAACACACGTTTCCATTGTTCTTTTTTTATTTTTTTTTTTAGTTTCAATGTTTTGAAAATCAGTTTTTTGATACACTTGTTAAATGATTTTACGAAAAATTACTACCGTTTAAAAATAAATCACTTTGAAAATAACGGTTAAAAAGTCAATTCTTTCATTTCAGTTCTTTAAAATTGATATTGGATTTTCCAATATGAAATTAACAATGCTTAGATCTTTTGACTTAAGCGATAAAAACACGGAAATTGAACACGATAAGCACAAAGAATCGATTTTTTTCATAAAAAATAGATTCAATAATTATTTCGGAAATCGAAAAAAAATCGAATAAAATACGCGACCGAATAAAAAATGTTCGAAATCGATGAGAACAACACACACTCGGGGTAGGAATTTGTGCACAGCGTGCGCAATATTTGAAATGGGTCCCTCTGTGGCTGAAAAGATGATCCAATCCCTCAAATGGTTTTATATAAACTGACCGTTTTGATCAAACTAATATGTAACCATGACCTTCCAGAGTATAAACGTGGAATAGTTGTGTATAATGTTGCAATCACAAAGCACCGAATACCATACACAGATAGCAGAGCAGAGCATATAGCAGCAACAGCGGTAGAACGTAGAAAACGTTACACAAACACAAGCGCATCATCTTCTCGATGAGTCCAAGTCGGTGCAATTTGATTTAGTTTCATATACGTGTATATATATTATACCTGCACATACAAACAAACGCGCCTGAGCCCGATCGATTTTAGCCCAATTTGTGTCAATTCATTCAAGCTACTCTATCACCAATACAAACAAATCCATTGGACTTAAGGTGCGCAACACAAACATCTTTCACCGTAAGACAGAGCGTAAGAAACGATTGTCGAGCATACTCATACGCAAACAGAGCGCGGTGTTTCTTCTTAGCTACAAGGAAAGTGTAGCAATTCAACAGGTAGAAGTGATCGATCTTGTTTTTCTCTCTACCTACTCTTTTCTTCTTTGCCTCTTTGGCATATACCGAGTCTGTCACATTATGTTCGCATTCACGTTCGTACTTGCTCGTATTCAATATGCGCTGAACAATACGATAATGTTGTCTTTCGATCACAGAAAGACGTTATGCTGTTCGTTATGCCTTCTGCTGTTTGTTTTCCACTTGGCAGCATGTACGGTGAACACTAATACCTGTTCACGATCAACGTGTAAATAAAATGCGAAAAGCAAACGTACAACAATGTGAGTGAGACGATCTCAATGTGTGTAACACTTGTTTTCATTTCGATCAATAGCAGTCGGTGTGTTTAACTATTAAACTGTATCAGTTTTACGTGTAGCAAAAACAATTCAAATTTTAACTGAAAAACAGCTCCGCCTAGAATTGCCTGTGTGTATACGATCAATACAAATACATGCAAACAATCTAGCGTGAATGAATAAATTTCACTATTTTATTTTGTAGCTTCTGCGCGTCTGTGTAATATTGGCAGATTCCTGGTGATCATCGCTATTTACCATTCTTCGGGTGCTTATAGCTCTTCAAGCCCCCAGTGTGCGTTTGAATATCAGCTCGTTGTGGCTGCTGTTGATGCCGCTGTTGTTATTGCTCTCAAATTGTGTAACGAACATGGTGCGTATATCTGTCTCCATGCAGCATAAATGCCACAGTATACAGTCTACAGGTGTCTTTTTTTTTATTTTCACGCACAATAAATAAACGAACAACGCACAACATCATGATGAATTTGTAACTGAAAATGAACATAAAAAGGTCGAATATTTTCGCCTGAAAAACTAAGAATAGGAATACAGTAAAAACAGCACCTTATGTCTGATGATTGTCGTGCCTTGAAATATTTTCATTTCTTTGTTGAAAATTTTAATATTATTCCTTGTGATCGAATCGATTCGATTGAGAATTTTTTTTCTCTTTCGCTTTTTGCTGCTGTCGTTCCTTTTTTCGGTGTCGAAATCTAAAATAAATAATAAACCAACAATAGAGTGCAAGGTGAATAGATAGAGATCCGGCAAAAGCAGACCGAATAGTGTGTAAGGTGCTCAATTGGAATTGTGCGCTTTTGGAAAGACATACAAAAAAAAACATTAATTGATGGCTATATATAGAGGATTAGGCAGCAAATTGATTAACAACAATCGATATGATGACCGACGGTTATTGCGTGTTCTGCCTTTTGTTCTATTCTTGAGACAGTTTTACAAACCTATCAGACTGAGAGGTAGAGTTTGTTTCTTTCGTATAAGGGTGGAAAATTGTCGGATCGACCAAAAACATATGCCTGCGATTTATCCGACATTTGTTCTTTCTTCCTTATTCTTTTTATTTTAACCTTTCGATATATATTTTTTTATCGTTTGATACGTTATTTCTTTCTCTTTTTTTACATTTTTCTCCAAAAAATTTATGTGCATGAAAACTGTTCAACGTATTTTACCATCAAATTATTACTTTCGATCGATTAATAGATCGCCATACGATAGGAATCGATTTGGTAACAACAGAATTATCAACAGAATGACTTGAAACCGTTCATTTTTATTCGAATTCGTTTGTTTAAGGCACATCACATTGCATTATTATTATTATAGAAAAGCGGTGCTCTGTTATGACTAACGGTTCAGGACATTAAGGAACATAAAATATTCGGGGATACATAAGATCCGTAAGCATTATATAATGTGTCCTTCAAAGCATATGCAATTCTATGATTTTCGTTCATATTCTTTTTATGAAATCGACAACCAATTCTATAATACATCAAAAGAGTCAAGAGATAATTTTTTTTACCTTAGATTGCGCTGTTCGGTTGTGATACAACTACAATTTAATGATCCCAGAATAAGCAACAACCTGCTGTTTCTTCAGAGTGCACATAAAGCACGCGGTGCTATGATGTTATGAAACTTGAATGAATAAATTTAATTTTATGATTTGACTGCCGCCGATCATAAAAAGAAATTGAAGATCGTGTTGCATGCAATCGGCATTAAATAAAATTATTATTACAAATTCAAAGTTCTTTGTACGAAGAAATGAAAGAAAAATGATTCAATTGCCATCGAGATCTCTTTGGCTACGTATTCAATATGTTTCATTTTAAAATGAATTTTAAGTTGAACGACATGTGTTAACGAAACGAAAATGAGTGTAATTCATTCAAAGGGTTAATCTAGCCATGCCTTTTGCCAACACTTTGTCCAAATGTTCTTTGTATTTGAAAGTATAATTGCTGGCCAAAAAAGAGAAACACATGACGAATTGCCTGCGCCGTAGTTAGGTAACTATGTATCAATTAAATCTGTCGCTATGATTTGAAAACACTTTCGGTCACCATATGCAATGGGAATTATAACAAAGAAATTGATTCTAGTCAATATAATGATTTTGTTTGATTTGGATTATTATAAATTGTGAAACGATCAAACAAACTGAGTGATACAAAGAGTAATTTTACACAAGATTAAATAAAATTCATTATTTTCAAAGCATTTTTTTAGCGGCAAGAAACAAACAAATATTTTACAAAATCATTCCATTCGAATGGCATACCTTATTGTCAAAAATGGCCAAATGTAGAATTATTTTAAAATAACAACTAATTATGTATATGACACAAGGCACGTTATGCTTTCAAGCCGCAACGAAATGAAATACGAAGAACTGGAAACGAAGTATAAGCAATAAAAGCAAGTATATGGATACGGTGAGATACAATTGACGCTTCGCCCAATATCACACATATAAAGTACTATGTGTATGTGAAGTTGGGAGTTTACCTTACACCATTTCCTACCATTCGTTTTGGCCAATGAGAGTGATGCTGGACGCCGTAAAAACAATAACAATCGACGACAACGTTAATCCGATCCAATGAAGACTGTACTTGTGTTCATTCTCTTTGTGCTGCTTGATTTGTTCTCGACTTCTTCCACTTCTGTTTGCCAACTCGCATGCAAGAATTGCCTATTGTCACGACAAAGAATCATGATCATTGAAAATGTATGAAGTGAATATGGAAATAAAGTTTTCTCTTTTGAATTGCGCAATTTTTAAAGATTGCACAAGGTACATAATTATTTTCTCAAAATGTTTATGGTTTCGAAAATGATCACTTTCATTCGCTAGAAAAAAAGCGATAGGAAAAAATACAAATATATTTTTTTTTTCGTTTGTAATTTTTATTTTTTTCTTTATTCTGAGATCTCACAAAATTTTGCTGAAATATTTATTTGCATTGATTCTATATTTTGGTTGGAATTTTCTTTTTTTTTTGTGCTTTAAAATGATATTTTGTTGTCAAATAAGAGAGTTCCAAGTCACCGATAAATTGATATTCAAAACAAATTTAACTTGTTTCGAGGCAATCATTTTAGTTCAAAACACATTCACTTGATGGAAATATTTGAAATTGCTTTGAAATGTTTGAATTTTTATTGAAAGCATTTGAAGTGTTTGGTTTTAAATGGAGAACGCCATGAAAATGTTGAAACTAAAAGAAATGAGTTGTATTTTTTATTTTATATCCAAAAGTCGTCTGGTGACTTTACCAGTCGTTGTGCTCCGATGGAAATTTGTTCCGATCCTGATTCATTGCTATCACTTCCTGACGCTATAGTTGTGAACTTATTTGCAATTGCTTTAATTGTTGGAATTTTCTTCACTCCATTTTCCGATGGTAATTTTGAAATTCCGTTTGTCTTCGAATCGACCAATTTTTCGAATCCATTTACTTTTCGGGGACTTGCCTTTGTCTCCGTTTTATGTTTATCTTCGGTTACGATTTTAGGTTCATCTTTCTGTAAATTGAGTCCATTATTCATCATATCATCTGAAATTTTCTTTCCATTCGTTTCAGTTTCAAATTTTTTCTCGTTAATTATAACAGCTGAAGATGCAGGCTCCGCTTCTGATGATTTTTCGTAACCATTTACTTTTCCACTTTTGTTTTGTGTCAGTGAATTTGAATTTTTTTCGATTAAAGGAGTAGAAATATTGCTCAAAGCAGCCGGTGTTGCCAATGTTTCTGTCTTTTGCTCTTCTATCTTTTCATTCCTCTTTTCGTTCTTTTTTTTCCTCTCTACTACCTCCTCGGTCAATATCTGCTTTTCCATTTTCCTATCATTTTCTTTTTGAATGAAACTACCTTGACTTTGTGTTTGACTGATGGTTTCCGGTAAAGTTACTTTGAATTGCGAATCAAATAATCTTTCGTTGTAACCAAACATTGATTTAATGTCAGTTTTTCTGTTGATGTTACTGTCTTGAGTCTTCAATGAAAATGCATTTTTCTTTGCGAAGACATCATTTTTATTGAATAGAGGACTTTTCAAGCGTTTGATTTCATTCAAATCCTTCAGCACCTCTTCGATGTCGACATCATCTTGGAATGTTGAATTTTGAACTTGAGTCATGGCATCAACCAACTTTGAATGATAAATTGTAGTATTAGCAAGTTTATCTTCAATTTTGTTGTACTTTGCGATGGCTGCTTTACTTAAATTGTAATTTTCCCATATTTTTGTGGCATCGTCGTTCATTTGTTTCTTTGATATTTGCTGTCGTCGTAAATAGGCCTGAAATGATTGATCCAAATCTTCGCTTTCTCGCTCTAACTGCTGTAGACGAATTCTGAAAATAGGCGACAACGATAGTCTTATTTTACTCTGATTTCCAGAAAAAGGGAGATCAAGTTTGAGGGAAATTAAATGAAAAATATCGAAAAATGATAAAGTCCAAATGTGAAATTGTTACTTTTAAATTTTGAGTAGTTGAACACAATAGTCATGAACTATAAAAAAAAAGTTTATGTAAAAAACAAGGAAATACTAACTTGGCCGCATGAACAATGTGATCGACATGTTGTTCCTTCTCGAGAGCTCGCGCTGCTAATGATTCGGCCAGAATTTTTTCAGTATCGTCCGGTGTGTATTTATCAATTGGGCTTGAATTTTCTTTATCAATACGTTCGGCAGATTCATGTTCACTTTTATTTGCATCATACTTTTGTTTATAATGTAGTCGAATTAACATACGATAATTATTATTTTTTTCTTCATACAGTTTTTCCAAATTTTCGCGTTCCTTTTCCATTGTTTTTTGCAAAGACACTTCCAAACGGTCAATGAACTTTTTACCATGTTCCGAATTTTTCAATTCTCTTAACCAACTGACGTAATCGTCCATGCGGCTGAGGCGATCAACTTTATTTACATCACTGAGTTTCTTTTCAATTGTTTCAGAATTTTTCGTTTGAATGTCGATGGCTGTTAATAAGTCTTCCAATTTACCGTTGCACTTTTCAACGGAAGCTGATAATCGTTCAATGCTATTCAAAACACTTTGAAAACGTTTGCTTTTGTTCTGTGATTTCGTTAGTTTATTTATATTTTCGATTATTTTGCGTAAATCTTTCTTTAGACTCTGTTCTTGACTCGAAGAATCGACAATACGTTGCATTTTTTTACTCGAACGTTTGTGAGCAAGTGATTTTGACATGTCGTTGATTCGATCGGATAAGATATCCAAATATCGATTTAAATACTTGAAATAACGTGAACTTATATTTAAATGTTCGTATTTATGACGGGCAGAATGTTTTTGTTCCGAATATGATGTTCCGTTGAAGCTTTGTTGCGATGAACTCGATGGGACTATCGTGGCTGACGTACTCGGTCTCACTTTTGTACTTTTTGTTTTATTTTCGAGTTTTGGGTTCACTTTTTCACTTCGTGCACTATCGATTTGTGTGATGAGCGTTTTTACTATGCAATAAAGCAATGATTTATTATTCAAAAAGTCTTCATTGTCACCGGTGGTGCGATTCATGTAAAATTCACGAACAATTTTTGTATCTTGTTTTGAAATACCGACCGCTTCAAAAATATCGTTGAGTTCCGATTGTGAGAATTGAAATTGTTGTCTCGGTGGCGTCGCTTCGAAATTGGGTAGCGTATTTTTATATGGCACTTCATTTGCAAACACTGACAATGTAAAATGGCAATCTTCAGTGTATAGAAATTCGGCGATCAATGTGTTTAAAACCAATAATAGTGGTGACAAAACAATTCGATGCGCTTGCTGATGTTGTTCGGACATTTGTCGACCGAGTTTTGTTGTCGAAAATTCTTCAAATAAATCAGCTCTTAATTTCGATTGAAGTTTATTGGATATACCACGTTCGTTGATCCAGGCTGTTATTTGCTGCTTAAATTCGTCTTCTGAAATGGCCATGATATCCTTTAGATTGATTTTTTCGTCAATGTTTGCACTATTCATTTTTAATTCTTGACAGTAAAACACAGTAAAATCTAATGAAATATGCGTCCGACTGGCCAATTTGATACTATGAGGGTATTGTAGTGTGCACTCGACCGCAACTTTTGTATTACTAATGCGTGTGTGTATACCTATATTCAACGGTTTGTTTACAGTTTCGAAAGCGTTACATCTGTTGCCATGGCATCCATGGTTTATTGACATCAACAGCTGCATGCTATACACTATTTTGAATTTCAAGCGGTCGATTTGAAAATAAAAGTCAATTGAAAGTGTACGAATTTACAAGATCGCATAATTCTTATGACATGTACCAAATATGAGATTGTTCATTTGAAAATTCGAATTATATGTTGTAAAAAAATGTTTATTAATTATTATACAGTGTATAAAAAGAATATGATGAAAAATAAAATGAATTTGACAATACAAAAAACGATATTTTGTTTAATCAAGATGCAATTTATTGGCAAGGTCGTATTGCATTCTTGAATACAAATCATTTCGTTTGTACAATTTCGATTTTTTTTAATGGGTATTATACAATATATTTAGCGAATATACAATTCTTCAGAATGGGGACGGAAAAAATTTAGTGCTAGATGATGGTCCAGCGATCAATCAAAAAACTAAATTTGAAGAGAGCTAAAAAATGGTCTAAACTTAGCTGTCGCCTAGGGGGTGGAGGTAGCTAGAATGATTTAAGAGGAGGCTATCCGGGCTTACGACCCCCTGTACCCATTTTTATTCAGAATGCTTTTTACATGTTAAGCATTTTCTGGTATTCATCAAGTAAGGCACGTTCTTCAATCAATGGCAGATCAAGATAAGCATTATCCTCCGTTACCAGGTCTTCGGCGAAACGGTCATAGGCCTAAAAGGAACATAAATTTTATGTAAAAAAATGTATTTTATGTAGTAGTTATGCTTATTTTCTCATCTAATTCAACATACTTCCTGCTCAGCAAGAATTTGGGCAGCCCTATTTGCAGTTTCGCTCGGATTTGAACGTGATGTTGACGGTTGATCGGTTGTATTTTGTTTTGTTGCTACCCTTTCAAGAACTTCCTTGAGAGTATTTTCATACGTACCATCGGCCTGCATTTTCAATAGGTTTTCAATGGTTTTTTGCATATCATTTGCATTCTCTTTCAATGCTTCTCTAATCAACTCAACGTCAAAGCCCATATTTGAAATTTGTTCACACAATAATTCATCTGGCTTAATAGTTTTTTCGAGTTCATCACGCAATTCGGGTTGACTTTGTTGCAACAATAAAATCTAAAATGATCAATATTATTTTTAATGAATAATTTTTAACCAATTTTAATTAAAAAAACTTATGTTTACCGCTTGATCTATATCATTGTCGGTTTTCTGAAGTGCAACTGCACTTAAGTCTTTATCAAAACCCATTTCACATAGTGAATGCAGTGTGCGCGGATTGACCCATGTGCAATTGTTTGTTTTCACCAAATTATTTTTGGTGCGACGTTGTTGTCGACCCAAATTTCGTGCTTTTTTCAATTGTTCGCGACGTTCGGAAACAAAAGCGATTGCTTCGCTTATATTGTTGGCACATGCACGCAATCCAGTGCGTGATTCGGTGGTGGTGAAACCTGAAATAATTCCAATAAAATTCATTATTATCAACTGTACGATATTTTCACTTGGAAATAAACAATTTTACCCATTTCCACCAACGATTCCACTAATTTGTCATCCACTTGAAGCTGTTGCCATTCAAGATTTGCAAGTGAAATCAATTCGAACGCCACATTCCTTTGGTTCTTGTGAAAATTTAAAATGGCTTGGAGTAAATGCATGCGCATGATAAGAGCACGTTCGTTGGCAGCGTTGCCTTTTAATGTCATAACTCGGTCTAAGTTTTCACCATAACTCTTTTTGAAATGTCTTTCGCAAATTAACAAGCGATTTTCAGCGTCTGGCAACTGGCTAATGCTCTATAAAATGACGGTGAATACATGAAACAATTTGGATTTAAAGTGGAAAAAGACAAATTACCTTGAGCATGATGTAGCACCAGACGATATCAAGGTTCAAAAGGGCATAATTGTCAACGGTTTCCAATAATTGAGAATTACATATGCGATATTCACTATCAGCTTCCAATAGAAAGATAAGCGCTTCATTGAATGCATTTCGTCGTAAAGCAGCACGACCTTTTTCATGAATTGCTAATGCCATCATTATCGCCTTTTTCTCCTCTGGTGGGATGTGAATCAAATTACCATCCTGATCTTCAATCTACATTGAAAAAACAACATTTCGATCATTCGAAAATAATTCGTGGAAAAATGTTTAAAAAATTCAACATCTAAAAATAGATCCACTGATTTCATTTTCAATATCGGTTTAACCAACAACAAATGAGTCATTTCATTACAAAAACATCTGGTCTGTCAAACTTACATCCATGTATGAATCGCCTTTGTGTAAAAGTTTCGATGCATCTTGTTTTGCCTCTTGCAATTTATCAAACACGCCATTTTGTCTACAGGCTTCATTTGCATCCATTTCCAAAACAATGGCCATAATTTGCTGATTATTTTGAATACCCGAGTCTTGTAATGTTTGCAAACGATTCAACATTTTACCAGCACTAATTAACTTTAGTCTAAATCAAAAACAAATCCAGAATAAGAATATGAAAGAGAACAATGAAAACTGGTTGTGCTAATTACTTGTTTGGGTCAAGGTCCAAATGAACACCAACTTCTGTATACAAATCTTCATTCAGAAGACTTAGTTTTAGCTTTACAGTGATTATGCGTCCGCCATTGTTTTTGTCTGGAACACGCACTTTTATTGTTGCAACTCCTAAAATATCAATTTTAAGATTGACGTCAGAACGTTTTATAGATATATTGTTTAAAAATTGAAGATAAAACGATGACCCCGACAAATATACCACAAAAATGTTATAAAAACTCCATTAATTTTGAGTCAACAAATAACAGAAAATTTATTTCTTAAAAATTCGTACGCATTTCATTTTTTTGTGTCAACAGTCATGTCGCTGTAGATGGCCAGTAAACTAGTTGAAATGCGTATGAATTGATAAAAAATAAATTTTGTGGTGTTTTTATATCATTTGTTTGTATGTTTTATAGGTGTCATTTATGAATAAAAATGAAACAAAAATAAAAAAACGTATATGTACCAGTATCCTTGAAGAGATCACGTGCTTTTAACTTGTCGATAGCATTCGCTTGTAATTCATTAATGGCCATTAAGCAATAATTGTATGGAATATTGACAGTCTGTGCCAACTGAGTTGCCAATTTCTGCGAAAAGCAAAACAGTACGCATTCAAGATAACAACTACGCATTTACGTATTATGATGAAATTCAAACTTTTTAACTCGTTCGATTTCGTTCAATTTCGAATAATTTCGCTAATAAATACCTCTAACTCTTGTTCATTTGGTCCAATTCCTTCTGTATAGTATGGTTCCAACCAAAGTTTTATGCCGTCTCCTTGTAAGTTAGAACGAACTTGTATCAAACAATTATCAATTGATAAACCAGATGCCATTTTTATTTTGCTCGTTAAATAATCACCACAGCACGAAATTTAATTCAGAACAGAATAATTCATCAACAAATAAATATACGAAACAATAATATTTGACTGGATTAAAAAATTATCCAAAAACAAAATGAAATAAATGTAAATTTATTGTTTAGTTCTTTTATGGAAATAGTTGCTGCATGTATGTTTATTCTTTAGTCTATCTCTCACTACTGGCAAGTGTCAAAATACAGCTGATTCATAAGTCTCTCTTTGTTCGCTCTCTGTTTCCACTCTTTGTTAATGTCATTCTATAGTCTGTGGTATGTAGCGTGCACCGTGAATAGCGTGCGTGAGTAAATGAGTAAACTTCATAGTGTTTAGAGAGCAAATGAGCAAATGCTGAATGTAAACAATGGAACTGACAAGCATCACATCTATGGACTTCCCAATGACTAATATCAGCGGTTGAACTTACTTTTTTTGTGAAATAAATAGAATATTTATTTTTAGCTCATGGAATGTGATTAACATTCGTTGAATTGACTGAAAAAGATGAGCGATTTGCTAATTGGTTAATGTAATTTGTAGTCACAGAGAACCAGTTTTAATTCGTTTATAAGGCGCTCATCAACAAATGGACTTAAATAATGACGCACAAATTTTTTTTTATTTTTAAATAAATCGTATGATTGATAGCCAAAGGTATTGATAACAAAACAAAATGAATAAAAAATATGAAACCAAATGCAAAGTGTTTATAGACCACAAACTCGAGTACAAAGTTCTGAAGCTGCCATATAATTCAAGGTCCTTTGAAGAAGATGTCAATTAAGATTCTCAAACCATTATTTGGATATAATTTCAGATAAGGTGCATAAAAAGAGTAAAACACATGTCTTCATAATATAAATGACTCTTGCTTGTTTTCTTCATTTTCCAATAATTTTTTTTTTAAATATGTTTATACAGAATCCATAAAGCGATCGGTGAACTTATTCTTTTAAAAAATAATTAATTGTAGATTCGTATTCTCATTCACGATAACAACACACATGATAGTCCATTAAATTTATGTATTTGCAAAACGTTAATATTATCAGAATGAGGTTCAATTCTATCGCAATTTGAATAAAGTTCAGTTCATATTTATTATGCTGCAATGTACGATGGTTGAAAGGTCACTGATAATGACTTACAAAGACATTTGTGTTCGCTTAAAAAACAGCAAATCGTGTCATCCATCAGGACTTCTAAATCGTAAATATTTTTCAACAATTCAACAAAAAACCTTAAAAGTTAATATTGTGCAAATTGGCATGAACTGATATCGGATCATTAACTGAAATCGTCTGTACAAATTTAATAACGTATATCCGCCGAAGTGAGGTGGTGTTGTTGTGTTTTTTTCCTTCTTTTATCGTGATTTTTGATTAGCAAAGTATCATATGACGCGCTAAAAAATATATAGACAATTTAATGACCACTGAATGCCAGATGTCAAGCTGACCATTTTTTCTATTTTAGCGCTATCATCATTATTCTTGTTTATGGTTTTCTCTGCTGACCAACGATACATACTATCTACCAAAGTAGATGTAGATGGTCATGCATACCGCATCAGAAAATTTGCGACTCATTCGAGTATTTGTTTTTTTAATTGCTGGACTTTTAAAAAATAATTATCGATGTCACTGTGAATAGTTCTAATTTTCCACCCACAAAATTTTCCGCTAGCTTCCGTAACAATTATTATAACTTTCAGCATGTGTGCAATTTTAATCGTTATCATATTTAGCACAGAATAAAACTCGAAATAATAAACCAAGAAAATATAGTATCGATTACGATTGATTGATTCGTTAGGCCATAATCAATTGGTTCTGCTTGAATGCATTTCACATATGACATTCACACACACTTTATGTCCGCATATTCCATCCGAAGAATCTGAAGAATCATTGCAAATAATAATAAATTCCGAACACAAGCAACTTTTTTGTGCGTCAAAATTAAACGAAAGACGTCAATGCAAAACACAACTTGCAACTAAAAAAGTGATAAACATAAAGCCAATGTTAAAGCCATCACGGGCATTTTTTAAAGAAATCTCAATGCTTTATTATATGTAGAATATTATTATTCCGGTCTACGATTCTACAGTCTATCTTGTTTTATGAATGCAATAGATTAATTTATTTCTGAAATGTTATATCATTTGATCAAAACAAAAACATTAAAAAAATAAAGCTAAATTATATTTAACTTAAGAATTATCTGAATCATATTCAAATCATGCAGATCTCAGCCAGACGTGACAAGTGAACTACACAGACTTGATAACCTGTCTGAACTATAAAAAAACCTATGAACAACGCACAGCACATAGCCAATTGGGTATATATATACAAATATGCTATAAAAAGCAGCATTTGACACTATGTTATGCATGAAATTGTGTGACTTGTGAATTTTGTGAAGATTCTACATTATGGCCCACAGTCGGTTCTTTTTTTCCTAGAAACAAAATGTTCAAAAATATTTGACACAATTTATTATTGGTGTAAAATGGAACACATCACACCGTCGTAAAAGCGTTGACGAATGGGAAAAAGATGCGTATCACGGTCGATCTCAACAAACGCGGTGTTGACCGCTTTTTTTACATATGCGCAAGTTAATGTAATATTTTTGCCTTTGACATGCCTCATGATGCAATGTTAAAACAATGAAATATACGCATAACGAACTGTAGCTTAATAATACCATGGAGATTTTAATCATTGTGGTAATAGTTAAAAATTTATTTACTAATTTTTTTCATTCCATTCAACTTTTGTAAATTCAAGTTTTTGGCATTTCAAGCGAGTTGAGTATAAAGTTCATCTCATCGATTCCCAAACGAATCACGGAAATAGAACGTCATTAATTATAATAATACAAAACAAACTATAGTTTAAAGTGTCTTCATTGTAAACGATTGCCAATCGAATCAATTTCCACTAATTTCATGTTTGTGCTGTTAATTCAACTGAATAGAACTTATAAAAACTGTCAATGCTAAATAGTAGTCTTTGAAAAATGATGTTCAATTTAATAAATTACTGATTTACAAATACAGGTAATCGGATTGTTCAATTATAAATTTTTTCTGTTTGTTTGTTCTCTTGATATTCGTTCGTTTGCCGCAAGTATAATCAACAGAAATCGAGATGTATTTGGAATTTTTCGAATGAAAATCGTTTTGTACATCTGTGGATCTGTGTGTAGTTTGGTCGCGCTTTGCTGGATCCGATATTCATTTTCATCGTTAGTCGTATCGATAATTCTGTTCACGATATGTCAAAGCGAAATGTAACATGATCGGCTGACCGACCAACCGGTTCAACGTGACTAGAGCACATTCATTTCACAACAACACACTAAACAAAGTAGCAACAACATATATATCGGTTATGTATGTATAGTTGTGTTCAACGTTATTCGCTGTATAAAGAAAGACAGCACAAGCAAAACAGTGGAATGACGTTCGTTTTCGTTTGTTTCATACTTACGAAAAGTGAGTGAATATGCGATGGTGCACGCAAACAAAAGAGATAGATGCTGAGTGCGAGCGAATTTACATTGTAAGACCGTTCGAAAATAAACAGCATGCGATAGGAGTTTGATTTTCTCTCGGCAGCGTTGATTCAGTTGCGATCAGTTTTCTGATGTGGCTTATTGTGAACACACGTTTTTTTTTTTGAAGTTGTGTTCCACCGTATTTATTTTCTTATTTTAAAAGTATTGACTGGTATATCATCGTCAAAGATAACAAGTGTTCAAAGTGTTGTATTCGTATGAAGAGAAAATTTAAATTTAAACTCAAACAATCATCATCGACATTTTTCGAACGTGCGATTGAAGATATATATTGGCCTACAACGGAACAATTTTCGTTAAATTAATGTGAGTGTGAGCAAGAGAAGAGAGTAAGACTAAAGAGAGATTAATTAAAGACGAGTTTCAATTTTTCTTCAGTGAAATCGTGTGACCAAAGCCAAGCCAATGTTCTTTAGATTGTTTTGCTTGAAACAATTTAATCAATTTCAATAAAAAAAAAATTGAATGCGAAAACGAGTTCTCTGTCGAAAAGCCCAAACTGACAAACTGATTTAAATTGCGTTTCTATTTGTATCGCCTGATACAAATGAATTTTTAAAATAGTTAAAAAAAGACAAGTGAAACCACAGAGCAGTAGGTCGAAGCAAGTGAATTGTTTTTGTTATGATTGCTGAAGTTCCTGATTAATAGCCGCAACGAATGACTGACCGATTTTCATTTAATTTGGATTTCATTTTCGCTTTCGGTTCATGTTTTTTTTCCCCGGCTGTTTGATTGGCATTTATTGTGTAAATTTTGCGAAGGAAAACCATTTTAAAATATTAAATGAGCATCTTTATGAAACAAAACAGAAAGAAAAAGTGCGAAAAATATTTCTACACACATATTCATAGATCGTGTATTTTATTTACTATATAATGAATGAACGAGTGAGTGAATGTTTTTTTTCGTGTTGATACGCAAAGCAGTTCGGCAAATTTGTTTTCATTTTTAATAGAAACATATTTGCTGCTGACTTGAACTCCAAATAGGCTTGCTCTTTGTCGATTTATTACCATGAAGGAGTTTATTGTTGTGCAATTATATATCAAAAACATCAACACTTTGGTTACGCAAATAGAAAAAAACTTCACATACTTTTCTCTTCATGTCAAAACAATACACACACACAGACAGAGAGATAGTGCATATAGCCAATCCACTTTTGCTGAGAATTGCATTTTAAGCGTTTGTTTTAGACGGGCTTCGGTTGAGTGGTGCAGTTGATTGAGTGAGTCAGTTTTGCAAAACTCAAACCATTTTCGAAAGTGTTCCAAATGAGGAAAAACCTTCTTTGTGCTTATTTTCATTGCATATTCAACAAAAAAATAACTACGTATATTGGTCAACTCAACTTCAACCTTATTTTTTCATGTTCGCAGAAATTTAACGATTATTTTAGTTTGTGTATATAGTGTATAGATTGAACAGAAAAAAATCGCTTATTTGTGATAATCTTTAGCTAAAAAACTAATCGTACCATGAATCGGAACAATAAAAGAAACAAAACTGACGAGAGAAACTAATAAACTAGATCATATTCATACAGTTTTCAAATAATAATTGCGGATGCATTCCACACGCAGACGCTCACATTCAACTCAACATGTTCATGGAAAACTATTTGGCTTACGCGTTCACAAACAAAGCGTTGTTTTTTTCTTTCATGTTTGCTTTTTTTTGTTCAGCACATTTTTATAAAACGATGATATAAATAACATTGTTATGGGAGTTTTAATTAAACCATTTTTTTTGCGCTTAACAAAAAGTCTGTTGTCGTTCACAGTAATTATTGTATATATTTAGTCAAATATTATCGTGAATACAGGCATTCAACTTGGAAATGGTGAATATGAAATGATCATGACTCATCTATAAAGTCAATTGACATGCAAAGAATGTATCGTCATCTGTACGGACTTAAACAGTAATTCTCTTTGTACCACTACAAGACTGATAATTAAAATGACTATAAATAAAATCCGACGATGCACTCGGAATTATTCACAAGTCCACTGCTAATCATGGGAGGTCCGGATTTTCAAATCGCAATTAATCGCTTTTTCCATTTTGTTTTTTTATTTCTATCATAAAAAAAGCAATCTATGGAAAATATTTAGAACGTGAATTAGGAATTCGCGGAGCAGTGTAAATTGTATCTCATGAACTTTTTGAAATAAAAATCACACACATCGCTTACACAGTAACAGAATAACGTTTAAAGTAATGTACCTGCTGTTCAATGTTTGCGTGTTTTGTGCACAATTTTAAGATAATGAGTGCTGAAAATTATTTTCGATCTTTTGCTGAATAGCAACATCATCAGCACTCAACCATTGATTATATGAATGAAATAATGCTCATCGTTACTGATCCGAATATGTGCTTGGCATTTCGCATTTTTATGTGAAATAACATCAAATGTATAATTGTGGTGACGATCGACGATCACCAGAGTATGCATGGTATGTTTTTTGCAAAAAAAAAAAAAAAAAAAAACGATTTTATCACTTTTAAATAATCCATTGCCAACTGGTGTTAAAAATACAAACCAAACAAAAAAACTGGAAATACAATGTAATGCATCATATAAGTATCTTGTTTTCGGGTGATTTGGTGCATTGCAATGCCGCAGCATTTGATGTTCTTGATGAATTGTCAATGGTTATACGATTGAAACGAGTTTGAAAGCATAGCGGAAAGTTTTAACTCAATGTTCAACGTGCAAATTCGTTATAAACAAAAGCAAAAAAAAAGCATCCAAATGATCGATCGTTGCTTGGTTTTCAATTACAAAAATATGCTAGTGTATGTGCGAATATAAAAAAGCCAGCAGAAGCAATAATAATAATAGTAATAATTTATTTAACCTCAATTCATGTTTAATTTCTACCTGTATGAAAATCAACGTACCACTTGGATATTCGGCGATCGAAAGCTGCAAGCGCTTCGGTTTCACTTATTCAAAACAAGTGAATTGACAAACTCACCATATATACATACACTAGTGAACATATATAGTAAGTATTTAAGCGCAAGCTGAAGACGGCAAGTGCTCTACTCAGCCATCAGCCATTTGTTTGTTTACAACAGATTCTTATTCAAAAGTGTACGAATATGCACTCGGAACCACGTTTCAATGGTTTTATACGTTTTCGTTCACGTTCACCATCAATTTGTTGACACTCTATACATTGAAGTATAGAATAAGTCACAGCAATAAAATTGCTTGCTATTCAAACACTTTTGTTTTTTTGACGAGGTGAGACAACACTTGAACGATTTATGATTCGAAAGTATGCGCTCTATTCAATCACATTTGAAATGTAATAATTCTCGAAATTCATTCGATTATTTTACGTCGTCAAAAGAAATCTTTGTCACTTTCAACAGACACTTATAAATGTTAAATAATCTCATAATAAATGTCAAATAAAATCATTTTAATGACCGTTTCCTCTAACTATCAATGCAAGGAAACATCGCCTCATCAATATTTACTGCTTAACATTTTCGTTTTGTCTATGTTCGCAGAAAAACGATTTGATCAAAATGCTGATGAAGAACGTTCCATTTCATAGAAAAACTGAAAACTATTTTAAAACAAACAGGCGCCGTGAAACTTTTTTTGCTTTTATTTTTATTTCTTTTTGCTTTCATTCTAATTCTGTTTTGTAACATTCCGGTGGAATGTTATTATCAGCATTTTAAAAGAAAAACTATGTATACGGTCATTTTTAACAGCGACCGTTGCACGCTTGTCGTGAATTTTTGAAAAAGTCGAGGAATTACACAGGCAATAAAATGAATTGTTGCAAATCATTAAAGACTGAAATATACTTGGTATTCAATTCAGACATTCGAATATATTTGGACTTCAAGCTGCTAATCAGATTTACCCACAAATGTTTATTGAGTGTCGGATAAACAATTTAAATGTGTTAATTGGAGATGACGATGAGCTATCTGGTCTTAATTTAGATTTATATATGCGCATTTACACACTAACAATTGGCCACCACAAACATTTGGAAATTCCTGTTGGTTAGATTTGTTCGAAAATATCCCAACCCAGCGTGTATGCAATTCACTTTCGTTGAGCATTTCAAAGATTTTTTTTCTTCATACAAATTCATATGATACATTGACATTTTAAGTAATAAAATGAGCCTTTAGTACTGGCCAATGTCGAAATCATAAGTCGTGATAACAATGAGATCATTGCTTAAGCAGTGACAAATTGTAGCAAAATGTTTTAAAATTCTTATTAAGCCCATCCATATTGAATCGATTCAATGTACGAAGATTCCGGAATTTTGAATATTTACGATCACAAACAGACTGACAGACTCATTTGCTTACCTTAGACTGCGAACTTAGACTGTGAATATCGTGTACAATATTGAAAGAAATTGTCGTCATGCAAAAGTCTGTCGCACGAAAGGCAGATGTGTTGTTGTTATTGTTGTTGTATCTTTCTTTTAAATTTAAAATCAGCATGTTAATTCAGAATTCAAAAGAGAACCTGTTTAGACAAAAGAATGTTCTCGCACATATAAAATTCGAAATAATAAAATTTTTGTGCCCACATCAAAGTCAAAGCTGATAAAAATATAAGGATATGTGATAACAAAAATGAAATTTCATTTAATTATTATAAAATAATTTGCGATTGATTATCATTTGCAAAATATACGAGCTAATCGACCGTATTCACTCTTTTCACTCTTCAAATTCGTGTTATAAAAACACGATAAACCACAATCACTTTAAATTCTCATTAATTACGGAAAAGTTTATTCTTCATGCATTTATCTGGGAATTTACCAAAAAAATCTTTGAACCAGATTAACCAAAAAATGCTAACTATTAAAAAAGTAACCACAAAACCACTATGATGTTTTGCTAAATTTTTGTCAACAATATTTTTACTTAAAAAAAAAAAACAATCAAGGTCATGAAACGTTTCGTTTATATTTGGAAATGACAAAACATTTTTTTTCGGTTTTACGATATTCTTGGGTAAACACAACGAATTGAAGAATTGGTCGTGCATGTAAAACGGTTTTTTAGCGTAAGACAAGAGACAAGCGTCAGTGAGACTTATATACAAAATGCTAAAGAGCAATAATTAGATAAACTGGAAATGTTGGAAAATAAAAGTAGAGAATCCAAAGTTCTATTCACTTTTTTATGATGATCACATAAGACGATAATTGTTATTTGGTTTTGTGATCATACTACCGCATTGCAAAAACCTACGATTGAATAAAAAACGGCGTTCTTTGTTTTTATCGGGGGTTACAAGATTTTTTTAATTGCCGTTTCTTTTAGCTTGCTCGTTATCAAATCAAAATTTTTTTCGGAGAGATTTATATGGACACCACAATCAATTAAAAGTATTATAATTTCAATTGTTTTTTTTTTTAAGAATGAAGTAATTTTAAACGCTATCAATTAATACAAAGTTGTTCGTTGAATATGATTCATTTACGGTGTGCATCACGGATTATAACTTCCCCACATACCTCGTCGCCTATTCCACGAACATGCGTTTATTGTTGATTTAATTTTATGTAATAAACATGATTCACATAATCTCATTTTGTACTATAAATAATTTGCCGAACGTATATTTATCTTCGTGTAACCGCTATTTTGCAATGAGTCGTATAAAATATCACATAGATCAACTGTGAATATCAAATACTACACTGGAAATCGATTTTCCCAGATGATAAAATAACAGAAAATGTTTTTTTTTTCTTTTCTTTTTTTTGTTAAATATTCATAAATGTTGTAAAATGCGCACTTCTAAATGTTATTCACTTGAATATATTCACAGATAAAAATCACAGACTCACTCAGGAAAAACGCCGCCCATAAATAAAACAAAAAATATGCTGATTGAAAGCTAGTGCACAATTTCGATAGAGAATTTCGCAATATAGAAAATAGCAATACACCGAAAAAACCGATTTGACGAAATGGGAATCGGGTCACGATTTAGCAAGTGGGTCAACTATCCCCAAATTAAGGCGCTTCTATGGAAAGATGTTCTTATTAAGAAACGACAACCGGTAATTTTAAATCATAGCTCACAGTTTACTTTTATTATTCTCAATAAACATACTTATTATCGATATGGTTATTGTAGTGGCTCACAACAGTTCAGTTCCTGTGGCCTTGTCTTATATTTTTAACTGTTTACTTGCTGCGATTGAAATTCAGCGCTAGCGATATTGAAGATTGCCAGTTTCCGACACGAGAATTGCCGTCCCCAAAGGGTGTTTTACCCTTTTTCCAGTCCTATATTTGCACCATTCAAAACGAATGCTCTAGCCCCAAAAACTACTCGGAAATTTCGGAATTTCCCGAAGCTCCGTAAGTATTGAGAAAATGAATAAATAGATATTGTTTTTAATTTATAATTTTATTTACTTCACAGTATCACACCAATAGTGAATATTGTCCAAACGTTCCTAAATGAAGATAAACTGTATAATGCTATTGTTGATTTGCCAGCCAGTGGAAATTTTCTGGGCTCAATCACCACGATTGCTACACATCCAAGTTTTAAAATACTTGAAGATAATATTGCCCAGATGACCACAGTGCTTGGCATGAATGGTTCGCCAATCAATAGTAGTTTTGATATTACTCAATTATGGTCGGATGATGCGACTTTCTCACAGTCGGGTCTTCTATTTTGTGGCAAACCATTTCCCACTAGCAATAATATTCGATTTGTGGATCGTATTTTCTACCAAGAAGATTTCAATAGCGCCAACCAAGAGGAATTGGATGTCATGCCAAGTAAGTTAAAATAAGTTTATCCGATGATGATGTCCACTTCATGTCGTCTTCTTTCTTCTTTTTAGCAAAATATTGTAAACAGATGTATCTAGATATCGGTGCAAGTTCAAACAATGCAAAAATCACATGGAATTATATTAAGCCGATTATTCAAGGGAAATTTTTGTATGGACCGATCAATTCGCGAACTGAACGATTTGTACAAAATGTAAGAACGGATATTATCGATGAAATTACACAGCATAATTCATTTTAATCGTATATTTCCTACTAAAAAAATAGGCAAACGACACACTTTTGGCAATGAATCGACTAAAAGATCTCATCAAATCCCTTGATGTGATTATAAAGCAATTGCGTGTCGAGGGTGACTTTCAAAAAAAATTTATGAACATCGTGCAATTGGCTAAGTCACCATTTGTTCAAATGCTTTTGGCAAACTTTAATGTCGATCCCAAGGTGCTGGATACTGTTTTTGATGGTTTACTTCACGACAAACAAGTGTCCGATATCATTGAAACCGTCGCAAATATATTTGAATGTTTCTCTGTTAATCGTTTCATTGGTGTTAACTCAGAAAAAGAGTTAGAAGACATGGCTATAAAATTGAACGATAAAAAGCTGTTTTACGCTGGCATTTATTTTGGTAATGACGAAAAAATGAAAATTCCATATTTGTTTAACAAAATTCATATATCTATAACATGTCAAGACTTACTTGATATATAAAAGAAACTGTAGTCGCTTTAGCAAAAATATTTATGAAATATTGAGATTTGGTAATTGTAGAGGAGAAAAAAACATGGAATCACACAATAGTAAGAATTTTCTTCAACCAGATCGATTACAGAAACCAAATCACAAATCTCAGCAATGTTGTTTGTTCAAATGATTTTTTTTATATTTTTCTATTATTTCTATTTACAAAATAATCCTATATAATTGTTTTTCTTTTTCTGGTAATTTCAGGTAATGATGGATATGACAAAAATAAGGAGTACTCATACACGCTGCGAATGGATGCGGATAATACTCCAATTACATTGGAAAATCGAAATCGGTGATTACTTTACTCTCAAACTTTATATTAGTTTATATTTTTCCTTTGTAATTTCCGTGCTATTTCCGCCTATTTATTTTTCTAATATTTTTTTCAGGTTTTGGTTCCCAGGTCCAAATGGTAATTTTGAATTGAATATGAGATATCATCGGGGCTTCATTCAAATTCAGCAAATGATCGATCAGGCGATTATAAAAACAGTTGTTGAAGATGAAAATGAAATTCGTGAACAACAGTGGTTACAAACAACAACTACAACAACCGAAGCTACAACACCAATCGAAAACGAAGAAACAACTGAAAATATAGATAGTCAGACCGAATCAAGTGTGGATAAGTCCGAAAATGGAAATGCAAACACTACAGCAGACTCAACGGAAAACACTGAGACTGAAGAAGCGGCCACAACTACAATCCCAGACGAAAATCTGCAAAATGACATGAAGAAAAGTTCAAATGAAAGTGTAACGAAAACGAATGTCATTGATACACCTGTTATTACTAATGAATCTACAGAAGCAACGAAACAAACACTATCACGACGTAAACGACAGTTAGATATTTTCAGTTCTCTTTTCGGTGGGTCACCAACCACTGAAGCACCAAAGTTTCATGGCATTGAATATGGTGATATGCATACTTACACCAAACAATTTCCCTATCCAAAATATCGTGAAGACGATTTTCTCACCGGACTTTACTTGGCCCAATGCATACAATTATTATTCTTCTTTGCGCTTATTGTCCAAGTTTCGAATGCAGTTCGTAATCGCATTTGGATGAGGGAGAGCGGAAATAGTACGGTATGTGAATAGAGATTAAAATTCGCTGCAATCAAATTAATATAATGTATTCTTCAAAATTACAGTTGATGAGAATAATGGGTTTGCAAAAATCATCGGAGAATATTGCATGGATTTTGTCAACATTTATTGATTTTGCAATCACATTTCTGATATGCGAAATTATTTTATTCAGCGGAGGTGTGATGCAAACAACAAGCCGAATTTTGCTTTATATTTTCCTGCTTATATTTGGCGCATGTGTCATTTCGTTCTGGTAATAAAATGTTTCATTTATATTTATTGTGAGATGTTATTGACATTTGATTTTAATTTCTATTTTCAGTTACATGATGTCCACATTCTTCACATCGGCCAGCATTGGATCTGTTTCTACCGTAATACTTTTTCTTATGACGTATATGCCGTACATTTTGATTATATCGTTAGGTGCAATTTTGAGTCAATGTTCCAAAGTTCTTGCTGTAAGTTCCACTCAATTTTAATGATTTTTGCATTGAATAATACATGAATCGTTTTTTATTTACAGAGTTTGTCATTTGCAACGGCATTTTGTTATGCTTGGCGCTTCATTATGCGATTAGAGCTGCAACAACGTCCGCTAACATTTTCGAATGCATTCGAAGGATCGTTTGAATCGAATGAATTTATGTTTGGTTTTGTAATGATTTTCATTGATCTCATTTTGTACACGATTATTGGATATTTATACGAACGATATACCAGCGATGAATTCAAATTCCACGAAGTCGAGAAAAAAGATATGGACCCGAATATTGGCGGAGCTCTCCAGGGGTGTACAAAGAAATATAATGGCAGTGAAAACACGGCTCTTGACAATGTATCCGTAGTTTTTCGTCGTGATTTTATCACTTGCTTATTAGGTAGAAATGGAGCGGGTAAAAGTAAGTATAAAAAAAGTATATCCGTCATTTCATTTGTACTAATTTTATGCTATTTGTGTTCAGGTACGATAATAAAATTGTTAACGGGTCAAATTGCTCCGACCAGTGGAAAAGTTTATTGGCCACAAAATTGGGACCGAATTACAGCACATGAGATCGATGAACGTGTAGGATTATGTCCACAAAATAATATCTTAATACCAAATTTGACGGCAAAGGAACATTTGGAGCTGTATGTGTGCATAAAAATGAATGGAAAGTGTGGAAAACGAGAAGTCGATCGCGTGATGAAAGATCTTCAATTTGGAAAGCATGAACATTATTTCTCTCAGCATTTGTCGGGCGGGTTTAAGCGTCGTCTTAATGTTGCCATCGCATTTATTTGTAAGTTTAAATTACCGATGAAACCCCCCGAATGGTTTTTAATACATTTTGAATACTGTAGCATCTCCAAATTTGGTGATACTGGACGAACCATGCAGTGGTGTCGATATAAAAGCGCGAAAAAACATCTGGGATTTAATATCTGTGCTGCGCCAAGGACGTGCCGTTGCATTGGCCACTCATTATCTTGACGAAGCCGAACATTTGAGTGATAGTATTTTGATCATGAATGAAGTGAGTGATGAAAAAAAATTCAAAGTTTTTTTTACATTTTAATTTTTTTTTTTGATAATAGGGAAAAGTAATGGCTGAATATGATCCCGAATCTTTGAAAAATACATTCTCGCATACATTTGAACTTCATGCTAATTTCGGAAGTGTGGACAATTCAAAGGCCACTGAATCAATCAAATCCCTACTTGAAGAGCATGCACCCGAATTTGAGTTGAGCTCAATTTCAACTGAATCGCTTGTGGCAAAAATTCAATATCGATCAGAGTCGAATCAATTGGTGAATTATTCACCGCTTTTTAACAGTATTGAAGATATGGTGAGAGAGCAGCAAATCAAAAGTTTTCGAATTGTAAGCAGTAATTTGGAAAATGTGTTCAACGACCTGATTATACCGTCAACAACAATGCAAAAACTTAATGCAAATGGTTATGTTACACCCGGCGATGAGATAATTAAGAAAAACGATGAATTCAGTCCAATCGTTCAACAGGAGAAACTCTCTGAAATAGAAGTGATTAAGAATTTGTTGAGGAAACGATTTTTGCATTTTAAACGAAACTATAGATTAATTTTATGTATGTTAGTTTTGCCAACGTTATTTGAAATTATTGCAATGGGCTTTATGACATTGCGGCCACCTGGCGAACATGACATCGATTTGCAATTTTCGCGTGGACTTTACCCGAATAGCACCGATATATACAGTATTGAAAACGTAGATACGCTAAAGAGTGATATATATGCAGATCTCACCGGATATTGTGAAGGAAACAGCGATGAGTTTGGTAATAAGTGCAGAACATTCGAATCGTCTGAAAATCTCTCCGGATGGGTTCTGAATACAACACAAGATTATCCAACTAGTCGTTATGGTGGTGTCTCAATTAATGGTTCACGCGCAGCCGTTTGGTATAATAACAATGGTTATCATTCAATGCCAGTTTTCTTGAATGAACTCAATACAGCTTACTTTAGAAGTTTAATGAATGATACTGACTTGAAAATTACAACCAACAATTATCCATTGAAATTAGATGACAACGAACTGAGCCAATCTTCAATGTATGTGGAAATGACATTTGTCCGCTTGTATAAATTTATTGATTTATTTTTTCTTACAGTCTCCAACAAGTCGCCGATGCTGGCATTTCGATCATTTTGTTGGTGGCTTTTAGTTTGGTAACCGCTGGCGCCTCGATATATATTGTTAATGAACGGCTGAGCGGAGAGAAATTACAACAAAAACTATGTGGTGTTTCATTCAAAACATATTGGGGAATTGCTTTTGTGTGGGATTTCGCTGTAAGTTATAAAAATTCATTTAAAAACCGAATTTAATAAGAAAACTCAATTTCGTGATTACTCTTTCCAAACAGATCTATGTGATAGCACTTTTGTTAGCAATAGTTGTTTTCGAAGCTTTCGACATTCCAGCATTTACAGCAAAGGATAATCTTTATGGCATTTGCTTGCTGTTGTTACTGTTTGGTTTTGCCGGCATTCAAATGGTTCATCTGTGTGAAAAGCTATTTTCTGATGCTAGTCTGGCAAACATGTATATTTTATGCTTGAATATTTTGATTGCCATGACAACGATTACCACGATCATTTTGATTGATTTGTTGGGCGAAAGTGAAGTAAGTAATTCGACAATCACTATTGAATCAATTGAATACTGATTTTTTTCTATTCATTTTTCATATTTCAGTGGAGTGGTCAATTGCGTGACTTTATGAATAGAGCATTTTTAATTTTGCCACAACATGCACTCGCCGATGGATTGGTGGAGATTTGTAAAAATCATGTAGTTGCTGAGGTGTTTACACGATATTACATCAATACATATAAATCACCAATCAGTTCCGATTTGATTTTGCCACATTACATCTCTTTGATTTGTCTTGGTGTTATATTTTGGATAACAAACTATATTATCGAAAGTGGCATGTGGAGATCGTATCTAAAATCTTCGAAAAATAAAAAGAATGAGTGCGTCACATGGTGTTGCCAATGTCTTTTTTTGGTACTAACAAAAGAAATGTTTTTTTTTTTTCATATTTTTTAGTACTGACCTGGAATCGATTGCCACAAATCAAAACGGATTCAACATTCCAAATGGTGGCAACAAGCAAGATTTCTTCGGCAAGCTTAGAAGTTCCAATGAAATTGCATTGAAAGCAGATTCTCTGTGCAAGACGTATGACGGAAAAAATGTGGCTGTTAATGATGTTACATTCAGTGTAAAAACAGGAGAGGTAAATACCTGGTTTCATGGTCTTTTGAAATGAGTAACAACTCTTTTTTTTTCATTGAATTTCATAGTGTTTTGGACTGTTGGGTGCGAATGGAGCTGGTAAGTGGTAGTCATTTTGTGTGCCTAACCAAATCTATAATTATTTCGTCTCTTCAGGTAAATCAACCATATTTGCAATGTTATCCGGTGAGTTGGCTCCCACTTCAGGAACAGTTAGCATTTTAAATCGAGATAACGGTGTATCGTATTGTCCTCAATCAAACGCACTCGATAGTTTGTTAACGGTATCTGAAATTATCGAGTTCTATGGACGATTACGACGAATTCAAAATATTCAAGAGGTGAACAATATTTGCTTGAACTCATTGTTTTACAATCCTAATCAATTGAAAAATCGATTCACAGGTTTCCGAGCAAACGTTGAAATTTTTCCATCTGGTTCCATATCGAAATGTTTTAGTAAAAAATTTGAGCGGTGGAAATCGTCGCAAGCTCAGCGTAGCCGTTACATGTTTCGGTTCTTCATCAAATGTTTTCATGGATGAACCTACAAGTGATATGGACCCGGTGACTCGTTCAATTGTTTATAAATCAATAAATCGATTATTGCTTGACAATCGATCGGTTATTTTAACATCGCACACAATCACCGAAATTGATCGAGTGTGTGACCGAATTGGAATAATGAGACAAGGAAAAATGATCGTTACCGCACCTCCCCAACAATTAAAAGTGATGTATGGCAATCGATACGACATAACTGTTTACTATGACCAAATTGAAGCGTTGACTATTGAACGGGTAAGAGATTTTGTAAAAACAAAATTAATATCAACGATCAATTGAAAAATGAATACATTGTTTGCTTTATTTTAGGACATCAAAAAGGCAATATCGAATGTAGAGAGCTTAATAGTTCATAATCATTGTTTGCAATTTAGAGTTAAAATTCGCAATCCAAGTAGTCAAAACTACGAAAATGGAAATGTAAATAATAATAATTCGGAGGCTGTGATCGATGAGAGTGGGATGTTCTTAAGTGATTTATTCAATAAGTTACACAACTTAACTGTAGGTCGGGGAATTAGCTATACAATAACCGAATGTTTACTGGATCAAGTGAGTGAAAAACTGACTTTGGTCTTCACAATCAGAAAATGATCATGATTTTCTCTTTATTCTTAGGCATTTGAACGCGTTTTAGATGCGGAGATCACACATTCCTACTTTAATTCAGCATACACATCAGAAACTCCAACATAATCATACAACAAAGTTACCTTCATAATTTGATATAAATTTTATAGTTGTTAACGTATCGTTCATTCGATATTCGTTTGCGGTTAAACGAACATCCAATGAACATAGTCTCTCGTCGGGCGAACACTAACGAACATTGTCTCGTTTACAGCTACACTTCAAAGCTTATCTTTTAATGTACAAATTTTTAGCGTTTGCCAATATGAAAACTGTTTCAATTATTATATTTACTTCACGACTGCATGGTATTTATTTATTAAGTTGGGTTTTTTGACACCTCATGTGCCTACGTTAAACTATAGTTGTAAGTTATTGAATAAATGCGCCTAAGTTTAGTTCACTACATTGAATATGTTTGTCGTTATATATATTGAATAAATTACTTTAGCTTATATTCTTTGACTTTGTGTTTATCTTTTTTTGCTTCGATTTTTATTTAATTAACGAACCACTCGCAAATTAACAAGAATGTCTGGGATCGTAAACGATAAGGAATGATTTTTCAAAAAAGTAGTGATAAAAATTCCAATTAATTTTTGAAAATCGCTTTTGGTTTATATTTTCGTTCATACGGTATATGTGTATGTGTGTGAACAAAGTTGGTGTTATCAGAAATCACACAAAATATATAGGTGAGTATGTCTAGAATCGAGGATTTTCGGGCGTACATTAAATGAACAACAAAACAAATCCTCTCAGTCCCATACGACACACTTAGGAGTGTTGTTTTCTAAACATTCCATTAGCTGTTCTCCAAATGTCCGTTTACTTTATTTCCTTGGATCATTGAAAATTGGTGTGATTTCGTAATTATTTTGCCATTTTCTGTATAAATAAAAGTTACGAACGAAATATGAAGAAAAAATTAATATACAGTATATTGTGGAAATTTTTTCTTGCGAATTATAAAAAATACATTCTTGATAGTCAAAGGGATTATCCCAAATGATAATACTGTGTTATTGCTTGAACCAAATCTGACGCAGAATAGACTACCTTGTAATAAGTCGTAGATCAATTATAAGTTAATTGTAAATGACACATCAGTTTCTGGATCTAATTAAATTTTGTATTGCAAAATGCGTACCTTTCCTAATCTTTTTAACCTGTCATTATCGATGAAAATTTCACGCACTTTTATTATTTGGCTTCTTTTTATTTGTTCATTTTTAATGAATACGATAACATTCATTGATGACGACCAATGTTTTTAATGAACGTCAATGTTTGTATACATAGAAGCCTAAAATTAAATGAAAATCTCTGGTATGATTCAATTTTCTGATTTATATTGTAGTCTATATTAACTCAAATGATAAGGCAACTAATCGTTTTATTTTTCCATCTGGAAGTATATTTTCTACAAATGCTTCTTTGAATCTCACCAATTGAAATCAAGAGAGTGGTCATAAAGATAAAGACTTATTGTGTGCATTTGCATTGTTACGTTGTCGATAAAATTCAATATAACCACATCTTAGTATCGCCAGTTAACTTTTAAACGGCAAAGAAATCAGACGTAAGTGTCAGTAATGCTCTAAATAGTCAGTATTGTCTTTCATAAAGTTCGGAAGTGAAATAGAGTAATTTTCTTTTATAGACATGTCGTGTACTAACTTATAAGAAAAACAGAAAAAATAATATAGATTAGCTTGAATGAACTTTTTCTATCAAATCACAAATAATTTGTTTATCAAATAAATCGTATTCATTTCAATAAATTATTTTTTAGAATTGAGTTTCAACAACAATGAACGAACCACACGGACAAACTGTTAACGGTAAGAACTAGTGAACATTTTTAAAATGACGGCATTTACACGTATTATATTTAAAAAGAATAAATAACAGTCGTTTTATTGTATTTAACTCGCAAAAGATTTTCATCTGAATTCAAAGAAAACAAAATTTGAAAGACTTGTGCCGAATTTTTAATGTTTGGACACACACTGTTTAGTGTTTACAGCGCCAAAAATCAAAACGTTATAGATTTCATACAAAATTTGACACTGGTTTTTGAAATTTCTAACAATTCTTGAGATCTTATCTTCTGAAATTGGCGATAAGGTGTCAATCAAAAATTGATCCAATGAATTTAAAGAGGTCAACATTTCAAACCTTATTTCGTCGAAAAGTGAAGAGCTAAATACTTACGTTGGTACAATAATTATAACAATCACTTCTATTATTTTGTCAAAAATATCGTGCTATGTCTTTTCATTTCAAATGAATATTCAGCCCAATATATTGTCTGCAAAAAAATTCCAGAGAGGAACAAAATCCGACAAGCCTAGAGAATTTATAGTTATTTTCGTTACACTTTTATTTTTATTGGACGAAAAAATCTAATCTAATGATTATGAAATTTATGTTGTTCAACTGTTCTACTGAATTTGTTATGATTACTTGATAAAAAAATTGTATTATCTGATTCATTATCGGTTTTATTTTTAATGATGTACTATCAAAGTAATTGAACACAATAGTTGTCTAGCCAATTACCTAAATTTACCGTTTCCGATCTTTATTGATATGCGATCAGATAATTTTGTGAACATGAGATTCATCGATAAAAATACTTTCTTTACACTTGAAGTGAGAGTAAAATTAAAATTTCATATCAGATGAATGTGAAAAATACCGTGGAGAAATGGAAACGATGTAGCGAAAAAAAGTTTATTTTTGTTGCCTTGTTTGTTGCAAATTGCATTGTTACATGAAGTTTTCTTATTAGCTTGAGAAAACAAAATAATGTCATGGCAATCATGGATGTCGTGGCAATCTTATTTTGTTGGTTATACAATAACAGATGATTCAATACGCATTGATGTTTTAGAGTGCAATAAATTGATAGAGTATAGTGTAATAAATTCCATAGCAGAACACTCAAAGCGCTTGCTGATGTTCGTATATGTTGTGTTTAGCAGAGTTAAGTTTGAAGTGATTTTATTCATGAAAAGTATTGGTATTTATATGGGATTGACTTTATCAATAAATGAATCATTAACATTCGTATTTCAAATTTAGTTTCATTTTTACTGCTTTGTATATACGTGCAAGCTAATATATTAACCTGTTTAAATCATTAACACAATATTAGTTCGATTCATCTAGAAACTAATATTTCTCAATAATAATATTGTTCAGATTCATAGAGAAATCAATATTTCTCAACAGTATATTATCAGCTGGAGTGTTAAATCAACAAATAAGTTCACAGCGGATATCAATTTTAATTTTGCCTAACTGCATCCGATTCATAGCCATAAAATTGGTTCGGACGTAGTTTGTATATTCGAAATGTAGTTCAATTTATGATAAATTTAAATGTTTGATGTCATTATCTATTACTTTATTTAATTGCAAAACGTTCAAGGTGTGCCAATGCATGATGTACCTCAAAGGTTGGCTTATCCCAAACGAGTTTTTCTGATCATTGGAAATGAATTTTGTGAACGATTCAATTTCTATGGATTGAGAAGTAATTAATATAAAAATGTTACTTTTTTTTATATCAAATTGTAGTAATGCCGTTTTTTTTTTCATTTTTCTAGCCATTTTGACAATATATTTGACAGACAAACTCGGGTATTCAGCTGATGACGCCACTGTTTTATATCACGTATATATAATGTTAGTCTATTTCATGTGTATCTTTGGTGGCATTTTGTCTGATACGTGGTTGGGAAAATTCAATACCATTTTGTATTTGTCCATTGTTTACTCGATTGGAAGTGTAATTGTTTCGGTTGGAGCAATTCCAATTGGATTTTCACCTAAGGCAGCTCTATACATCGGATTAGCTCTGATTTCTGTCGGTAGTGGTGGAATAAAACCGTGCGTATCCGCCTTTGGTGGGGATCAGTTCAAATTACCGGAACAAGCGGCACAAGTTGCAAAATACTTTTCCCTGTTTTACTTTTCAATTAATGCTGGATCGCTTGTTTCAACCACATTAACGCCAGTTCTTAGAGAAGACGTTCATTGTTTTGGAGAAACAAGCTGTTATTCACTTGCGTTTGGAGTTCCTGCCGTTTTGATGATACTATCTATTTGTAAATTTCATTTCAACCGAACATATTTTTAAAGTCCAAAAGTCTCATACAACGCGTTTATCTTTCAGTGTTCTTTTTGATCGGAAAGTCGTCGTACACATATGTTAAAACATCATCAGAGAACATGATCATAAAAATGTTCAAATGCATATGCGTAACATACCTTTTACAATTTCCAACCTTTTACAATCTCAAGAAAAGATCTTTCAAATAGTTCTTTTTTTGCCTTATAGCATGCAATCGTGACCAAAAGACGTGAAGGAAAAAGAAGCCCTCACAAAAATCTTCTAGATTACTCGATAGATAAGTATGGAGCTGAATTGGTTGGTGACATAAGAACATTGAAGAAGATTTTGATTCTTTATTTGCCTTTGCCTTTGTTTTGGTCACTTTTTGATCAGCAAGGAAGTCGCTGGTAAGCCTCATCAAGAAATTGAGTCAGTGCCTTAGAAGGAGAATTATTTTATTTGGATTTTATACTCTACCTTTATGTCTATTTATACTAGGACACTGCAGGCCAAACACATGAACGGAGATCTTGGATTTTACACCATAAAAGCCGATCAAATCCAACTGATGAATCCACTTATGATTCTCACGTTCATTCCGGCATTTGAAGCAATTGTTTATCCCTTTTTGAATAAAATCGGACTTGGACGACCATTACAACGGCTTACCATTGGTGGACTCTTGGCCGGTGCTTCATTTTTCCTATCAGCACTTGTTGAATTCTGGATTGAATCGTCGGATGAAAAATCTGTAAATCTACTGTGGCAGGTGCCGCAATATGTAGTCATTACTATGGGAGAAGTGATGTTTTCAGTAACCGGCTTATCGTTCTCGTATGATCAAGCACCCGAAAGTATGCGATCTGTTGTACAAGCGTTTTGGCTTTTGACCGTTGCATTCGGAAATGTAATTATTGTGTATATATCTGGAATGCGTTTCTTCGAATCACAAGCTTTCGAATTCATTCTGTTCGGGTCATTAATGTTCCTCGATATGTTCTTATTCGCCTTTATTGCACGTTCATTCAAAAGCTCAACCACAAATGAAGCTCAACAAACTATGTATTTGAATAACATCGAAGAGAAATCATCAGCGTGAAAGACTGACGTTTATTTTCATGTTTTAACCTACTAAATTTGCAAATTTTGTCACCACAATTTAATTGAAGCCATAATTTATTCTTTTAAAAATCATCAAATTTTTGCATGGCATTTAGAATTAAGACGATTAGAATTTTCATATTAAATCTAATGTAAAAGAAGTAAACAAATATATTTTAACTAAAAAAATCATGGTTTATTGTTTAATAGCTTTCGAAATTTGAATTAGTAAAAGAGCTGAGTTAAAAAAAATTATATTATTTCTCGCGAGATAAGATCGCCAAATATAAACCATTTGTCCGAATATTGAGAGGAGGATCGATAACGAATATCAAAAATTCTTTATAATACAGTACTATAGCATTTTTGAAGATAATTTTAAAAGATCAATATCAACTCTAAATATAATAATCCCAATATTAACCAAAATATCTATAATTGCTTTCAAGAATTACATAAAAAATCGACACATTTAAATGCCGTTGGAAGTTGCTATAATTGTCTAATTCAAAATTAAAATGGTTGCATACTTTCAGGCATTCTTTTTTATTCACTCATTGATTCATAAATGTCTGAGTGAGCGAGCGTGCTTTATATGCACATGTGTGATCTATTATTCTAATTTAATTAATCTGCTTTTCTCCACTCAGACACAATGAATGAATATGAGAATGGAAGAATTTGGTCTCTTTTTTTGAAATAAAATGAAAATGAAGCCGATTCTTTCATCCAATCTATATTCTGTTTCGTGTGTGTTCACTCACTTTTCGTTAGAGATATAGAGGTAATATATCACTTTGATTCAATTAAGCGAAATTCGATTGATTTGCAAAAATTGAACGTGTGCTCACGCACTGACACCTTCGGAAGATAGAAAATTAGTTAAGGTCACAATTTAAATTTTCATATATTAAAAACATATGTTCTTCGACGCCAAAATATTGTAAAATTGATGGAAAAAATCGAAATTAAACTTCACTCATAAAAAAAAATTAATGTTACCAACCGAGATTTTTTTTGTGAGATTACCCAAAAATGAAGAAAAAACATGACCTTAATTTTCTCCTACATTGATGCATGTCATACATTTTTGGACGCATGAACAGAAAAAAATGTGTCGCGTCATTGTTCAGTTGCCAAAGTTACAACGTAAACCGAATGTAATTTGTATATGCGCGACAAGTTCATGTAAACAAATAACACAACTGCTATATTAAGAATATCAATGCAACGTAATTCGTTGCTGTTCTTTCGTCATGTATCACTTGCACTTGTTGCATGTATAAAAAGTGAAGAGTGGTTCAAAATACTTTGGAAAGAAACTTTATGTCAAATTCCTATTGAAAATTTCATCGTTATTTTTTTCCTTCGTTTGTTATTGGTAAGACGCAAAACATACAACGCATTCGTTTTCTTCATCATATTTGCAAATAAATTTAAAAAACAAAAATAAAACAATAATTTCACATACACATTGAAGAAATCACTGTGTAAAATAATGCGTTTGTGTGGTTAAACCGAGTGAGTGCTCAGCTGTTACAAGCTGATGATGCTCGCAATCGTCAGTCGCACAGAACCCGTCGAACAGTTAACAGTTTTGTTTTGTATCGTGCTAATATACACATATTTTTTTTGGTAGTTTATCGTTGTAATTTGGCGAAATTTTCGTTGTGATTGTTAATAATTCAGAAAATTGTGCGATCGTTAATCGAGGAGATTTATACAAAACAATTGTTATTTCACATACGACGGCCGCATTTCATGGAAATAATAATTATTATATCTTTTGCAAATATACACTATTTAAGCATGTTTGTAATTTCGTTACAAAATGGACTGAAAATGCAGAGCTAATAAGCCGCCGTCACACTGACTCAAAAATCTGAGAATAAGAAGAAAAAAAACCTCAAACGAGTTTTAAATTTAAATAAAAGCAAATATTATTGAATTAATAGACCGTTTAAATTGTGTGTATGTGTGTTATATTGTTTAGAGATATTCCATTTTTATGTGTTGTTTTTTTTTCGGTTTTAATTCACTTATTTTGAATCAATGATTTCGCACATTTTTTTCTCTCCCTCTCTGTTATGCGCTTTGTTTTAATTGTGTATTGTAGACGAAGAGCAACAGCACGTAGTGCTGACAGCATCGCTTCAGTTTGTTTTAGTACAGTGCAATGGATAAGAAAACACGCTCGATTCTTTCCGTGTCATTAGTATTCTATTAGCGCTTACCACACCAAACTGAATCGAGCCGTCTCGAACGTTTCCAATTACCACACACAAACACACAGAATTTCTCGTTGATTAAAAGTTCATAAAAATAGAGCTGCTTTTTTAAAACACAAAAATAACATGCCTGCGAAAGTGTTTGTATACATTTTTCCGTCTTGATTTCATTTATTTAGTTTGGTAACTTCGTTAACTATCTGAGCAAACTGAAAAAAGAGTATTTCAAATCGATTATTCGTTCACAAGCATTCACACATTTAGGTTCGCGCTTGTTTGACAAAGAACCCGTAACGTTTAATCATTTTGTTGGTCGGTGTGCATGTTTGTGGCGCAAAAATAAATCACCGATGAATTTGCATCGATAGCACAGGCGATCGCACAGATTTCTAGTGACAAAAATTGTTCCATACTTACTAAATAAAATCGAAAGCCACTTTCAAATGTCAAACAATATAAATTATTAGTGCAATTTGTTCAAACAGCATTTCATCATTTTGCTTTTCGATTCAAAATCGATAAGAAATATTCCGATTTTGTTGTTTTAAAAAACAACAACACATAATTCGGTGAAAAATTCAAGGTTCATTATTTCTTGATTTGCAGCCGTCCATAAAAAAACCTACTATAGTGTGATGAGAAAAAACATCAATTGACTTATAATAATTATTCGCGGTGAAAAAACCCCGTTTTTTTGTTGATTATTATTCTTTCAGATGAACCAAGAAAACGAACAAAACACGAAATAATACCCATGTTGAATGAAACTATACATTAGCATCTATAACGAAAATTTAATAATTTCGGCGATTGAGCAACAAGTGTACGACGACTATCGAAAACAATTTTAACAGATTAAACAGATCTAAAGAGATTTTTTTTGTGTGTCGTGAGTTTTATATTTTCGATTCATCATGGTGAGCGGTGCGATGGATATTAAAGAGCCGGTAAGTAGGATCATTATTGCTATGTACATTGGAAAAAAGCTGAATATCTCGAATCCCCATCTAAATCTTGAATCTTGTATAAACAGACCTTTGATGTATTAACAATTGCGTACATCTTAAGTCTCTCAAAATTCAATATATTAGCACTATAAAATTCAATATACCGAATAATAAACCTTGGTCTTTGAATCTTTTTCTCATTATGAACGCATTATTTTCTTAATGACAACATTTTGCCATTTCCATGTGATGAAATACATCAACATTTTACTGTATGTCAATTGTAAATAAGTTATGCTGTAATATATATTTTTTCCCCAAGTTTTTGGTGTAGAAATATTTCAAATATCTTGTAAATACGGTGTTTCTGTACATAAAATTGAAACGAAAAAGAAAAAAATTTGAAAAAGAAAAGTGATGAAAACATCATATTTTTAAATCTCACAACTTTCATACATGATATACAAGCCATAAATATAAAATCAAACAAATTTATTTGTCCATACCAAGTATCAATTCCGTTTATTTGAATTCATCACAACACACAGATGTGACAATTTTTGTTCTTCGAATTCAGTAATCGTCATTTTCAATGTATTTGGGACGCGATTAATAAATATTCATTAGTAATTTCAGTCACTCAGGTACTAATACTACTGTTCTCAGATAATTAATGTTTGCATCTCAAATAATCATATTTGTTCAACAAAACTATTTCATATCATTTTTGGGGTCTCTCTCTTTCTCTCCTTTTCTGTGATTAACTGTCACGATCACTTTAAATTGATTAGATAGATCCGAGCAAATATTTGATGTGAACAGTGGTCAAATCCAAATACATCAACAACTTGAATACAAAATGTATTCTAATCGTCTGTCAGGTTTCGTGTATAACTTTTATTGAATTGTCCATAATTTCTTTATGATCTATAAATATGATGGACGTATTTTATGCACGTCTTAACGAATCGTAATTAAAACATTTTGCAGTTAGACAATAAAAAAAAGTCCATTGCTACGCGTATACATTGATATTCAAAACATCTGTACTTGATGGATCGGTCAGGTGAAGGCTCATGCTGTTTTTTTCAACAATAAACAATTGACTGAAATTGCGTTCATAACTTTTCGAACGGTGTTACATTGATGGGCAAGAACGAGTGTGTGCTCTTTTAAATTCAATCGAACGAAAACGATTCAATCAAGTGTCTTTTGATGTTCATGTCCAATATAAAATAAACAGTTTGTTAATTTTCGACTGTGATATTTGAGTTCCAATAATTGATAAAAATCTTACAAATCTTTTCATCGCATGTTTGTTTATTATGTTCGATACCGTTTTAATTCGCATTCATGGGGTTTTATTCTCGACGTAGATTACCTTTTGTTTTTATTTTTTTTTTAAACAGGTTTATAAAAAAACCAAAACGAGACATTGAATTTCAGACAAAACTCTAAATAGCTTGATTGATTAGGCTTTAAAAACACAGAACGTATTAATCGGTTATGCGGTACAGAAAAAACGGATTTATACTTGAATATATGTAGAAATGGCGTCGCAATAAAGTACAAGTGAATAATTTCATTTGATTTGTTTCAATTTATTCAATAATTGTTTCAAGCCAATTTTCCCACCAAATAATATTACATGCTAAACAGAAGGTGAGTAAACGAACGCCTCAATAGCGAGAGAGTATAGAGCATATTCAAATATTAAATTCACCACACTTGCGAGAACTGTCAGTCAATGTGAATGTATGGGTTTCACATCGACACCATACGGCATGGTTGTTCTGTGTGTTTGACAGTTGTTCCATTTGACTTTTTTTCATTTTCTGTGCGAAAACGAACGAAATTGCAATCAATTTGCAATTAAATTTACTTAATTGGTGATTTGTTTTCAAAAAATGACCCAATAATTCGACAATGGGACAAAATCACTAAACGAAACCAAAAAGATTTCAAACATTAGTATAGTTTAAAACAAAGTTTTTTTTTTCTCTTCTACTAATATAAATGGATATATTTGCGCTGCTGATTTCATCATCGTGGAGAGAAAAAAAAAGTCATAGCAATTAAAATAAAAATTTATTAAAATAAGAGTGTAAATAAAAAGAAAATGGGTGCATCAACGTCAAAAAAAGAAAATCTGCCACAATCGAGTAGTCCAACAAAGCGAAATGTGGATCTATCACGTTTTGCAGCCCGTGTTGATAATGTGAATGTGAGCGGCCTTGGCCGGACGCACGATGATTATGTAAATCGGGCGGTGCGAAATCTCTTTAAAGCAAAAACATTTAATGAAGTTGTACTTGAAGTGAAGACATCGATAAAGCAATTGGAAGAGCTTGGAATTTACAAATCGCTGCGGGCAAGCATTGATATAAGTCGCGGCGAGAATGCAACGGAAAATGGTTATGAGGTGTCATTTGATGGCGTTGAATTATCTCGACTCACCGGAAAAATTGGCACAGAAATCGGACAAAATGAGGGAGCCGTCACAGTCGAAGTTGCATCGCCAAACCTTTTCGGTCGTGGTGAACGACTTACGGTGCATGGAAGCTATAGCAATCATAAAACAACTGACATAAATATCAAATTGACAAAACCATACTATCATACGATATTAGGTGATTTCAAACCAGAAACATCAATTATCCTATCAAAGTATACGGCGGAATTTCCATGGTCGAAATATCGAACTGACAATTTGGGTTTAATATTGGATGCTGCATTTTGGTTGCCCGCACAAGTTCATCATAATGTTCAGTTGGAAACGTCAATCAGAGAGATTGGATTGACAGCACGTCAAGTGCCATTGGTCTTGCGAAAAAATTGTGGACCTCGATTGGCAACCATTTTACGGCATACTTGCACAATAGACGAACGTGACAGCACCATATATCCAAGTCGTGGTATTTTTCTTCGATCCACACAAGAAATTGCTGGATTTGCCGGAGGCAATGTTGGTTACACAAGTACCAATACACATGCTGAACTCAATGTACCTTTGTTTGCTGGTATTTCGGCTCAATTTTGCGGACGCATCGGTCTTCTAAGACCAGCCAAAATGTCACCACCTGTACCTATCAGTAGTTTATTCACTTTGGGCGGACCACAATCGCTTCGTGGCTATGTAATGGCCGGTGCTGGTGAACATGTCGATGGCATCGCTGTCGGTGCACATTCTTACATGGCAGCTGGAGCACATCTCTGGGCACCGTTACCATTCTTTAGTCGACAGGGATTTGCAAATCTATTCCGTTTACATTTCTTCTTGAATTGCGGAAAAACCGATTCATTTGTACTGGATGCCACCAATTTGGCCAGTTCGATGGGTGTGGGAATGGCATTGCGAATGGGCGAACGCGCTCGAATCGAATTCAACTACTGCGAACCACTCACAAGTAAAAATAGTCACTTCTTCAAGAAAGGCTTTCAGTTTGGCATTGGCTATGACTTTATTTGAAGAAATTAATTAGAGAAAAATGCATTAAATTCTTACAGAAAAGAAAACTAGTTTGATGTGTTCTCAGAAACACAACCACAAAACAAATCTCACTCGCTTTTAAATTGTATGTGCATTTTGAGCAGGAATTGTTACCCGTACAAACCGTATAAGTATTTTTTTTCTCTCTGTGTAAATGTTACACCTCAAACCATCAAATTTATGTGCGTCACGACAAAGACAGATGATAGATCAAAATGAATATTGTACAAGATATTTTCGTTAAAATAAAGAAAATCGAAAAAATAAAACAGATCTTTGAAATTTATTTTGAATTCGAATAATAATCATCTTTGTGGTAGAATTCATTCACATGTCGGTGTGACATTGAAAATTGAATGTCATTTTGTTTTTTTACAAATATGTTTTTTTCTCTTTTTTTTTGAAGTGGATAAGTTGATTTTTACTGATGATAAATACGGAATTGTAAAACTCACGTAAACGTCATTTTGTGCACGTTTTTCGTTTGGATCAGCGACAAATATCTGCTTGAAAACATGAAAATAAAAACAACTTTAAAAATACCACAACGTTAATGATGATAATGCATTGTTTTAGCATTCTTTTATGGTTTTTTATGCACATTTTTGCTTTCACTGGAATTTATCATTGGTTACGTTACGCACACCAGCATTGTCATTGCCAGACCAAACAACTAAGTATTCGTGTGATATTTACAACTTGTGAAAGCGATAATGTATCGAATGGAAAAACAAACGCTTTCGCACCATTGAATGCATTCATCATATTAATTTGCCATAATTGTTCAATTGATGAATCGACAAACAATTGGGCCGAAAAAATTGAGATCACGCCAATGAATATTCGAGTGTGTGCTCAGGTACATGATGTGTGGATTATGCCATTCAAATGAGACTATCCCTTCAATTGCTCTGTTTACTCTTGTTTTTGTTTAAAATCATTTACATATGAATTATTCGTTGGTTCAAGGCTTTGTGCTCGTTGACGGGTATATAAATTACGCATCATTTATCCAAAAATAAAAAGATACTCATTCTTCATTTGATTACATTTGCGCGTGCAACACTACTTTGACTCTTTTTTTTGTGTTTTATGCAATTAACACTTGAATCAACCAAATATGGGTACGTATTCAACGTGATTTAACACCAAGGCTGTTTGACGTTCGACGGCATACTTTCTAAAAGTAAACACGGCGTCAATTTCATTGATGATCCCAAACTTACCAATTAATTGCAGTCATTGATACCGCTTATAATTAATACTGACGATGGCCACAGTCTTCAATCATAAAAAATGATGAGTTTATTTTTTTCATAAAATTTCTTGATTTTCACATTTATTTGTTCGAAGATTTTTTTTTTTTTTTTTTTTGAATTTCGATTGACAAAATAAATTGATTTGATCATTTCGATAATTATTTTGTAAACGCCCCGATGATAACATCTCTTCTGTATTTTTTGTATTTATGATGCGATGTATCATATTTTAAGCCAATTTCGAGATGAAAATTATGAAAGACGATGGATGCCATTGAAGTATTCTTTAGTATGGTAAATATTTTTCTAGTTCAACGATGTCTGTTTTTGTTAAATAAAATAAATGAAAGCGAAAATCAACAAAACAAACAAGAAGCGAATAGCAAAGGCGCACCAACGTCTTTTTCGAACATAGAATGTATGTAATTGCATCACGCATTAAATACATTTTAAACGGTGAAGTAAATAATCGGTTAAACCTCTAACAATCTGGAAACGAAAATTCCGCTACGATATACCCAAAAGATTTTCTCTTGTACATTTTTTTTGCCATTTTTTTTGCTAAATTGAATGTTCGTCGCTGTGTGAATAGTAAATACATATTACTGTGTTTCCGCTGTGCGATCATGTTTTTTTTTGTTGTTCAAAATTTAAAATGTGGGAACAGTTTTACAAACGCACATTCACCAGGTGTTGAAAATCAGAATAACAAAGCATCGTGTGAAACTGATGTCAGAGAAAGCGAAAATTCATAGACATGTTACAAAAATCATTTCAGCTTTTTTTAATTGTTTTAATGTGGAATAATCTCATTTGTGAACTCTAATTCAACTGATAATCTCAGCGACGACGACGAATGACGATGGTAGCGCCGATGCTCAAATTATGAAATATAATTAAGTATAAAAAAAATTCCCATTATAATGAAACCTAAATGCTCCATTTAAAAGACTGCGAGTTTATTCCACTTCAAAAACAGGTAGTTTCATTCATAATTGAGTTCTTACAAAATCAGTGTGATACTTAAATAAAATGCGAGCTAACATTTTTTTCAAGCGTGTGCCGAAACATTTTTATTTGAATTAAAACTAATAATTAAAGCTTATTATCGCAATGTGGCGTCTAAATTCATATGACAATAATTTGCAGTAATTTTGCCGTATTTTCGATAAACAAATGTTGCATTCAAACGATTCAATGAACGCATAAGTGGTCAAGGTTGAACCAAAATATACGTTGAACACAAAGCTACAGTTCACATCGGTTCACATAAATGCATGCGATTTTAATGCGTGTGATCATGAGCCTCCGATTTAAACGAAACATTCGGCGAAAAAATTGCAATTGATTTTGAAACCAAAGCCGAGAGATTCCAAAATCGTGCAATTTATAAGCTAAAGTAATATTGTTAGGTACGTGTTTCAATCTAATAAAATTTGGTTTCAAGTATGCGAAATGTAGCAACTGAGAGCGTTACTTTTTTTCTACAAATCGTACTATCCCACTTATTTCCTTTGCTTTTTTTGATATCGATCGCCTTGTGTGTCATTTGTCTGCATAAATTGCCAACTGGTTTTTAGCAACACAACCAAATCGTGCACCGATTTTCCACACATACCTAGATTTTATAAATTCTTTTATGATATATATATTTTCGATTTTCTCTTTGCAGAAGCTGAAATATCCCAAATCGGTGGCTTTCATCATTTGCAACGAATTCTGCGAGCGGTTCAACTATTATGGCATGCGAAGTAAGTTCGTGTGTGTGTATGCGAGAGAGTGTTTCTTACTCTAAAAAGCAATGTTACATTCGAATGGCTTACATTCGCCGCAGATGACCGATAATTTAAATTTTAGTATTTCTCATCTTTATCAATGTTTCCCTTTCATTATCTCTCTGTTTTTTTTTCGTTAAACAGCGGTGCTTGTACTGTATCTCACTGCAAAGTTGAAGTATTCGAATGATGATGCGACTGTTTTATTTCACGTATTCGCAAGTTTAGCATATTTCTTTCCATTAATTGGTGCAATTTTAGCAGACAGCTACTGGGGCCGTTTCAAGTATGTTGAATGTTTTTTTTATTTTTCATTTAATTTTTTATCAAAACAATCGATTTCTCACATTCATAATGGTTGTTGTGTATTTTCTTTGGTTTTCTGTTTAGGACAATCGTCTATTTGTCGATGATTTATGCTTTGGGCACCGTCGTGTTAACGGTAGGTGCCGTACCAACTTTGAAGCTGCCCGCAAACGAAGTGACCATTCTTGGGCTCATATTGATATCAGTTGGCACTGGAGGCATAAAACCGAATGTGTCTGCGTTTGGTGGTGATCAGTTTAAGTTACCGGAACAAGCAAAACATTTAGCTACATTTTTTTCGATATTCTATCTGTCAATCAATGCTGGATCCATGATTTCAACATTATTGACACCAATTCTGCGTGAGAACGTACATTGTTTTGGCGAATTGAGTTGTTTTCCCTTAGCGTTTGGTGTGCCGGGAGCATTGATGATCATTTCGATTTGTGAGTATGCAGTTCACTTTCTTTCCAAGCGAACGAACGAACGAACGCACAAAATTCGAAAGTAATTTTAATGAAATTCTTTATTTGTATTCTCTTTTCTTTAAAAAAAAAAACCTTACAGTAATTTATGTGATTGGCAAACCATTTTATGTGTTGGTACCGCCGTCGGGAAATATTATCGTTAAAATCGCCAAATGTATCGTGCATGCGTTGAAAACTCGGTCAAAAGAACGGCAAACAAAACCACGCTATCATTTTCTCGATTATGCTGAACCGAAATATGGCAAACAAATGGTGTACGGTAGGTTAAATGCACGTGATTGCAATATATTACAAGTATCGCTTCAATATACGTACTTTTTTTCTTCATATAGATGTTAAATGTTTGCTGAAAATACTGGTTTTATACATTCCATTCCCGCTTTTTTGGGCGCTATTCGATCAACAATCTTCGAGGTGGACGTTTCAGGCAGCTCAAATGGACGGTTACATTTCACAACAATACTCAATTAAACCTGATCAAATTCAAGTACTAAATCCACTGATCGTTGTTTTCTGCATTCCACTGTTCAACTTTATTATCTATCCCTTGCTTGAGAAAGTGAAAATTAATACACCGTTACGAAAAATGGCATTAGGTATGGCACTCTGTGGTTTTGCATTTGCCATTTCTGGTTTACTTGAGTTACGTTTAGAAAAAACATACCCAGTAATGCCGAAAGCGAACGAAGGACAATTGCGCATTTTTAACGGTCAATCATGCGGCTTTCAATTGCAAACAAATTTACCAGAACACGAAAAAATCGAATTGCCACCGAACGCACTTTGGACAGACCAACATTTAGCATTTAAACCAAATGAAACTTTGCGAGTTTTTCAATATAATATCACATCCGTTGAAGGTAGTACCTGTGAACCAGTGTCGTTCAATGGAGAAATCAAAATTTTTGCACATAAAGCAACGAGCTACCTTTTAGCCGCCACCAATAAATTTGTGCAATATGAAGATTCACCGGCTCGATCGCCAGCCCTATTGCCGCGCGTTCGTATCGTGATTACCTCAACCGTTCAGAGTTCTGATGTGATTAACAAAGAGATTATGATTCAAAATATGCAAAATGCTCAATCATTTAAATTGCAATCGGATTTGAATCGGATGCATGAAGTCGACGTAGGAACATATTTTGTATGGGTGGATGGAATTCAAGTCGGTGGCTTTGAACTAAAACACGGCGGAACTTATACAGCTGTCATCAGTCAAATTAGTCAATTTAATTACGTAAGTTATACGAAATATCTATCATTTTGCAATTGATTTAATAATGATGATTTATTCTTTCAATTTGTACAGACAATGAACGTTTACACAATTACCGCACCACCATCGATACACATTTTACTACAAATACCTCAATATGTGATTGTAACAGCTGGTGAAGTAAGTTTGAATATATTTTCAAAATGCAATCAATGTTATTTATTTATTTTTTCGGTTTAGATTATGTTTTCAGTAACTGGCCTAGAGTTCTCGTTCACACAAGCACCGTCATCAATGAAATCGGTGTTACAAGCCTTTTGGCTTCTTACCGTAACTTTTGGCAATATTTTTGTCGTTATTATCGCAAAAGTAAAAGTGTTTGATACACAATCGGGCGAATTCTTCTTATTTGCCGGTCTTATGGCGCTCAACATTTTACTATTCATTTATCTGGCCAAAAAGTATAAGTATCGCTCTATTGTCGAAGATATTGAAAACGATGAAGCGGCCGCTCGTAATGCAAATGTCATCAATATGAACAGTTCGAATATAAGTACTGACACATTCACTGTCGACGGCATGTGTCCCACCACGGCGGCTATTGCTGCCGGCACAGCACCAACAAATCCACGCTTATCACTATCGAATGGAAGCAATGGTAGCGAGAAATTAGATGCTAGTCCAAAATGCTTGAAACGAGCAGCCAACGGCAAAAATGGAGTCGACAATTATGGATACACAGACATTTAGAAGAAAAATGTCATCTGCCTCATGTGGACAGTTTTTTTGTGATATTGTTAATTGTTAAAAAATACTTTTTTTTATTGTTAGGAATCGTAATGTGTCAGATTTGTATATTTAGACATTTTCCCTGTTATTTTTATTATTTTGTTTTTCTTCATGATTTTAAATTTCAATGAAACGCGCCCAGTTATAATAATTCTGTTGGAAATTTATTTATGAAAACTATACTAGAAAATTGCTTTTATCTTCTTTTTTTTTACTTTTAACTCTTTAAAACAAATTATATTTATATATTTTTTTAAAGAAAGAAGCCAATAAATATACATTCATGAACTGATATTTAAATCTTTTACCTTTTTTTGGGATGTGGACAAAGCAACCAAAATTCATCCTATTTTGTTTTGTAAAAGGAAAAAAGCTGATCTTCTCAATGAAATTCATTGAATAAATTATTACTGTGTTTTATTCATCGATTTTGTTGGCGTTTTCTTTACAAATACCTCAGTTTCATAAATTAAATTGAAATCACATGCAAAACATCATTATTCATATGCATAATATAAACTTTTTAAAAATATATTTTTGTGTTTAAATCTTTGTGCCAATTTGAATGGATCATAACTTAATTGGTAACATTTGTGACTTCTTTGGTGTAAACATTTTGAATGCGATAGAAAATATTACATGGTAAGTTCTTTTAATGCCGAACTGAATGAAATCGAATCCAGATGTGTAATGATGCGCTCTTCATCTTTGATGCCTCGATGAATGTGTAAGGCACCCAACAAAACCGAATCGGTATCGGTCCAATTGTCTTTTTTAATTGAGATTCCAACATCGGTGACACGGCCATGTTTAGCAATCTCATCAAAATTGAGGTAGTAGTAACGAGTCTCCCATCCGTTTATGGATCGATTTCCACTTGGGAAGATTTTCTCGTGTCGATTGCTCAATCCAATACAAGCGTACTTAAGTAGATTTGCCCGCAATGGAGTCACAATGTGTTCACCGGTTTTCAAAATAGCATTTGATTCCAGACGTCTATCGCTATCACAATAAACCAATAAGTTTTGATCGCCCTTATCATTTTGCACGTTTAGAACCAATTGAACATCGATTGCGTAATCGGATCGTTTGAACACAAACGAAACAATTAAATTGTCTTTGCATGTGAAATCAGTTGCGAACAAGCGAAGTTTGTTAACAGATTCACTAAATCTGATGCACGAGCCACCTGTAAGTTATTCCAGATAGAAAAGTGCGTAAATAATATGATGAATTGCTAAGATTACTTCATGAATGCCATTACCATGATACGCTTCTTCGAACTGGTATTCAAATGAAGATGGTACTGATGGCTGGAATTGTTGTTCCTGTAGATTGAACCATGGCTCATTGCCGATTTGAAGACCGTTACGATATTGCTTTTTGCCTGATCCAAGACCTGATATTTAACGACGAGTATAAATAAAAATCAACATATAAGCATTTAGTTTTGAAATTGAATTTGTCACAGGCACTCACAAAATGAAGTGTAAAATGGTAGGACATTTGGACCGCGTGAATAGAGATATGTCCAAAGTAATTTCCAAAAACGTGTATTTCGTTCGAGAAACTTTCGATTGATATCGTCAGTTCCTTCATCCCGCAATGGATGTTCATTTGGCATATTTTCAAAAGTCCAACCAGGCGCGAAAATGCCAATCGAAAGATTATGGTCTTTAATTGGTCGCAGCGTCTGAAAAAAGTCGTCATTCAAAAACTGCAAACAATCTATTAATTACACCACTTTTTACCTCATGCGTATGAAAACCGGCCGTTTGACCTCTCCCGAACACATCAATTCCCACAAAAACTTTGGCCATCTCTTCTGGATCTTTCTTAAGAATATCGACTGTACGTTGTAAACTCTCATTTCTCCACCAATAATTCAGTAAAATGCCATCCGTGCCATGATACATATCGATGTTATTTTCATTCACCTCATTTTGCCAACTGAGCGAACCTGACTCAATCAAAAATTGAGCAAACAACAACAGCAAACAACAACATTATTATCAATAATCAATCACACTGACCAATTTCAATTGAATTTTCACTGACCTGACTCAATCACACTGTCGTACCAAATAACGGTTCCATTTGGAATTTCTTCCTTTATGCGCTTTGTCATTTGTCGGACGAATTCTTTTAGTTTTGGTACTTGTTCTTCATCGATGCCACATTCAATGTTCAATAGCCATCCGTCAAATCCAAAACTTTTTGTGACAAGAACAAAAGCCTCCACGTAACGGTAAAGATCTTGTCTTGAACAAAGTAATTCGTCGAGAGTTTTTTTGGCATTATCAAACTCCACAATGATGGTTCCAAGCACCGGCACCCCATTTCGATGGCCAGCATTTATCCAAGATAGCGGTGGAATTGTAATGTAGTTATGACTGAAATAATTAAAAAAATCGATGCCGGCCCACTGAAAGAGATATTTAGGAATAAATTGTAATTCATGGAACAAAAAAATCTACCAAAAAAGAAAGAACTTTCAAAGTAAAAAATACGAACGTGATAGAATCGATAGTCATCAAACTTCTTGGATCCATGAATGAAGCGGTCACCACGATAGTTACCAGCCATATCATGACAAACGAGGACCTAGAACGATTTAAAGAAAATTTCTTTTTTAAATTTGGTTATAGCATAAAAATGGAAAAAATATGAATTTCAACGAACAAAAAAAAAATAATGATACAAAATAAATAACAAACCTTTGGTCTCGTTTTCTCATTTTGTGCCTTGGAAACATTCTGGGCATTATCATCGATGTTCAAGAACTGATTGCCATACTGTCGAGCATCACATCGTGTGATCAAAGGTTCAACCAAATTATTCCAACTGAATGGCTTTACGGTGTATTCGAGCAATTGCTGATTTGTGCGGAATGGTGCACATTCGTGAAGCCATTGCGAGTGATCTGAAAACATATTGAATTAGCAAAGTATGCTGTTAATACGATACAGCTAGAGCAAACAAACTGTCTCAACTGCATGTTTCATGTGAATGCCTGCTTAATAAATACATTATTTTCATTATAATCAATCTAATTTGATAAATTTGTCTCGCAATAGTTATATTGATAGGATGCTTGCGGTTGAATAGATGACATTGAATTGGTCAATAGAAAATTTGATAAAGAATTCTCACGAATGCAAATTCGATAACAAAACATCTAATATTTGAGAATATTTTATGTCATTGAAAAATGATTGCAGTAGAAACATGAATAATCTATGATTCAATCATGAACTTGAATTATGATAACACAATCTTACCATATGAAATTGATGAATTAACAAATTCGAAAAAATTGTGCACAAATAATAAAATTAAAATAAATAGTCGTCTATATATCCAGCGAAAAAAACTAAACATTTTAAAAACAACGACGGAAAAACAAAGAGAGACGTAATTCTTCAAAGCTTGCACAATTGAGAATGCCTACTCTTTAACGCCAACAAGACAAAATTATTAATTTTTTGTCAATATTGTGTAAAGTAAACAATGACACGTGTGTTTTCTCTATAAAAATTAGAAAACCACAAGTGTATTCTCTCATTTCACATCTCAGTACAATACAATTTACAAAATATAATACAATCGGCGTGTAAACATTCCAATTGCAAAAAAAAAACACTTGTAAATAAATGACAGAGTAGTAGACTGAGGTGAATATTTCGCCAGTGGTGAATTTATACCATTCTGACATTATATTGACATTTCTTCGTTGTACACAAAATTCATTGTAAAGCGCTGGAAGTTTTCAAAATATTTATTATTTTCAAAATAGAACAGAAAATGAATAGCGAAAACATTGAAAATGATTCATTCGATGACATTTTGGCACAAATTGAAGAACCAGTGACGGTTAAATCAAAGGTGCCAAGTGAAGTGAAAAAATCACGATTCTCTACAGAAAATGACGATGATTTGGATAGTCTTTTGGCCAATATTACAATGCCAGATGAAGCATCGGCATCGTCTACACAACCCGCAGAAAAACCGGTCACCAAAATGGGTTCAGGAAAAACGAATTGTGTGCTGGTGAACCCCAAACAAAGAGGTATGTAACAAAAAGTTATGAAATAAACGAGTTGTGAAACATTTTTTTTACCAACAGGCAATCCAATTCTCAAGTCAATAACAAATGTTCCGTGGGAATTTGACGATTCAATCATTCCCGATTATGTGGTCGGAAAAACTTCATGCATCCTATTCCTTTCGCTCCGATATCATTCGCTGAATCCAGATTATATTCACAATCGATTGAAAGAACTTGGAAAGCGATACGAACTACGCGTTCTTTTGGTACATGTCGACAATAAGGTATGATTTGATATGTGAATCTTAAAGAAAAAGACGATGACAGTTGATATGATTTTTACACTTAATTCAGGATCCAAATAATGCACTGAAAAATTTGACTCAAATGTGTTTGCTGGCCGATTTAACATTGATGCTTGCATGGAACCCGGAGGAAGCTGGTAAAATAGTCGAGACGTACAAATCATTTGAAAACAAACCACCAGATTTGATTATGGCACGAGCGCAACAATATCCACATCAGAAGGTTTGTACGATTTGCGTATAATATATATATGAATATTGTCATAAACTCTTTATTCTCGATTGTGATATTCCACAGTTGGTTACAGCCTTAACTAATATCAAACCGGTCAACAAAACAGATGCAATGACATTACTTCAAAATTATGGATCTTTGAAAAACCTTATTCTAACAAATGAAGAGAATTTAGCCATGTGTTCTGGTTTGGGACCACGAAAAGCAAAACGACTCATAAATGTATTCAATGATCCATTCTTGAAAAAATAGATTTAGATTTATCGTTAGATTGTAAATCAAATATAATGTGATTGATACCAAACGAAAAATGTATAACCTCGAAAATAGATGGCAAATTTCATTTTGGATGTAAATAAAGTGCATAACTTATTTTAAATGTTTAAATATTGTCGGATTTTATTATATTAATTCATAATATAAACCCTCTAGTTCTTAATTAGTCTGCCTTAATGACCATGACATCTTGGATTAAATGTGATCCAGACTAAAATCGTCCCGTAAACTAATTACATCCCGTAAATTTCAGGCTTTCATTGACCACTCAATTGACTCTTGTGATCAGATCGAAATTGAACTAAAATTAGATATCAAACATTTCTCGTTTTATAGCAGAGCTATAGATCTATAAAACGTATTTTTCATACTACTGAACATTTTCCAAAACTAAAATGCCTGCTGTATGAACACCGTAGTCAATAAACCATTGCATATTATTGATAGCATCTTTTATATATAATTGATCGTGGGTTGTATCAAAATCAGAAGAGAGCAAAATTTGGTCAGCGAACATAAAGATTAAGACCTTAAAACCTAAAAATAATGACCAAATCCATCGCTAAATAGAAAAGTATATTTTACTTTTTCACTCATGTCGTGGGCTGCGTAACCAGTAGTGGAAATTGGAATGTGACGATAACTGATGGTCATAAAAAATGATTTAAACCAAAACAGTGTGTGATAACATTAAGTAGTTCAAAACATGGTAGGTGTTGATTAGCTACTTAAAATTCAATTTTAATGTATTATTTGAACATAAAGTTGGAGATTTTAGACATTTAACATAGTAAGCTTGTGGTGAGAAGAGATTTTACCACAAATTTTTATGCAACACAAAGAAAAACCATTTTCTAGAAAAGTTGTCGATAGAATATAAATCAATAAATAGAAATCTACTTTGTGTCACTCATTCAAATGTTGTATGCTTCTTGAGTATATTCAAAGTAAATGAAAGATTCAAAAATTTCTGGAATGTTGAAAATTGATGGTAAAATCTTTTACAAATTAATCTTTTTCTTATATTAGATGTTATATAACATCAAATTACTTCTACTCTCAATTGAGCAATTGAAGTTTTTTTTATTTTTTTTCGCCATTTCACCGAGAATCATACTACACGGCAAGCTCGTGTTCTTTTGATTTCAGCACACGACAGATCTCTTATTACGCTGTACAGTATTCTTTTATTTTGACCGCTGTCATGATTAGAGGAGAAAAAGAATTCGTATTGTGTAATTAATTTTGTTTTTTACATCCGTACATTCTGTTTTATTATACTTCACACTGAATCCTTCGTATTCTTCGGTTTCACGTGAGATAGATAATGAAAATACGTTCTTGGAAGGAAGCAATACATTGATGGGATGGCAAAATAAAGAATTCATCATCTCAAATGAAATTGATATATGATTGAAATTACTGGCCACAGCTCAGATTTGTCGTTAACAAGCCGAGACATCGAAAATTGAGTTTTATTTTAGGCGAAATTATTTTCAACTCAATGTTTGAGTACTAAGTTTTGAGCAAAAGACAAAATAATCTCATTTGAATTTTTGTTTTAAATGTGTGAATAAGTAAATGAAATGAATTTGAGAGATAAAAATAACATTAAAATTGCACTGAAAAATTGCAGGCTCAAAAGAAGTTTGTGTTAAAATTTGAAATAAAAAAAAAACATACAAAAACACCAACATTTTCAATAATCTCCATTTAAAACAATTGGTTCTTTGTTTTGCTACAGTAAACTGTGTGCGTTGTCGTCCATTCGTTCCAATAAGCAATGCATACCATTTCCACTCAAATCGAAACTGAACGTTTTCTGCTTGCCTTGAAACGTTACCGATCAACGATCAAACTTAAAACGATCTATGAATGCGGTGAGTCGCAAGCAGTTGTCGCAATGAATGCAAAATGAAATGAAAACAACGTGAGTTTAATCCAAATCGAATACGATGGTAGAGCGCACGGTTTTCATTATCACTGGTTTGTTGAAGATCGGTGCGGCGAGTTACCACAAGTTTTTAAAAACATACGAAACAAGTCGTATTGCACTCGTATTGGTGTTAGTATAAATAAAACACATGCGCAGGTTTCATATTTCTTGTGATATTGCCGTTTACGTTGTTTCTCTTTCTTAAAATGGTACAAACAAGACCATCGATTGTGTGTAGCCATGAAAATTGTCCGTATATAGAAAGTCTAACACAAACACATTTACAAAGAAAAAATTGTATCGTAAAATAACCCGACAGCACTCAACATCGTTCGTTCATGAAACAAAAACAGAGAGAAAACGCAATACACAAACGTATACCACAACATCCCGAAATGAGCGGTGGCTTGAGAGGCAAGAGATATCACATGCAATACGCCGTACATACCGCCGCATCTCAAATGAAAGCACAAACCGACAACATCGCCTGTAAGAGCGGTTGGAACAACAGCAACACATATTTTCAAAATAGTTGTTTATCGAAAGAGACACACATTCATATTGGTGTCGCGGTTTTTTGTTTTTATCTCATACGCCAAGCGATTTCAATAAATTTTAGTCGGTGTGATTTTGTGCCAAAATCTTATTCAAATGAACCATTTTTACTAGAAATTCGGAATTGATTTTGTTGGTTGCGAACGAAAATAAACACGGAATAATGTTATTTTAGTGAAGAAGTTGTCACCATAGACAACACGACCGTAGTCAAGTGCAACAAGTTGGAGTGAATCGATATACATTTTTATTGAACGAGTCAAAGTGAAATCGTCGATAAATTTCGGATCAATCGAATTGTGACCTTAATTATTTAGAGGAAAAAAAATATAAATTCGACAGCGATTCAGTTGGCGTTGCTAGTAACAATATTTTTATCGAATTTATGTGTAAACGGCGATTTCATGCTATCAATCACAGGGCGTTTCAATGTTTTTTTACCCATTTCCATCTACATTGTGACTTTTTATCCTCCTATAAAGGCGAATGTGAATGAAACTGTCCAAAAGTAAAGACATCTCAAATGGATTTAAAAAAAAATAAAATGTGTGCCATATTCGATTTGTATGTGAACAACAGGAAAAATACATCTGACTGAGGTGAATGACAAAATATTGCCATTTTATTTGCAAAACATTCAATAGTTAAACAAAAGAGTGTTTACACACATTTATTTTGTATATGAACATCGTCATACATTTTCTATTCGACAATAATTGGTGTCAATTGAGCTAAATAACCGGTCAAATTTAAGTGTATTTGTGGTTGTCTTAACAAAATCGGTTTGTGTTTATTTTGTTTCCTTAATGAATAACTGTTTTCAATGAAATTGTCATTTCACCGCACCAACAAAGAATGAAAACACATCACAAGTGAATCACCGACACCGTGCGATAAACTGTTTACTGAATGAATTGTATGGAACTGGCCATTAAACGAACAGATTAGTGATCTAACGGTTTTGTCTGACCGAAAACAATTAACATTTCGACACATTTCGACATCAATAGCTGAATTTGCATTAGTGAGGTAAGTTTAGTTTGTAGACAGTTCATATTTCAAGTGAAATCAATGCCAAAAACTCATCATGCATCGAAATCTGAATGTTTAGATTCAAATATGCATTGCTATGTGCTCTGTTTGTGTTTAAACAATATTTCATCATTTTTGTAGTTTATAAATACCAAGTTCTCGGTTTGCTTCGCACTTTCAATGAATGCGTTTTGTTTGCCAGTCTCAGAAAATCAACATAAAAACGTGCATTTTGAACCATAACTACTGCCTGGTTTCCATCCATTTCAATTGAATTTTGAATGTTTCTTTATCTCAAATGAATCGTGTTGTTTGCTTTTGTTTGCAATTCAATTCAAAATATACAGCATCTGACGTTTGTATACATTTTAAACACCGAAAATAAACCATTAAATTGCTACGCAAGCTCATAAAAATTATCTTTCGCGCGCTCCCAATGTACGATAAACAAATGTATGTGCTGCAGACGGTTTTCAATTGAAAATTGCCTATTTTTTGTATAAAATGTTTGTGTGTACGCGTTTTCTTTCGTATAAAAAGAAATATATACACAAAACAGAACGTGGAATTAATGAAAAACAAACTAAATGCAAACGACTTGAGACTACGTCGGCAATAGACGGATGATAATAAGCAGATTTGGCGCGAGCATACGTGCATCGTAAATTCATAATGCGCGTAATGTATATTATTTACGATTATTGACTTTGCCAATTTTTCCGACGAAGTACTAATTATTATCTTTTTGGTTAGCATGACTTACCCAACTAGAAATTCAATGAACGAGGCACGTGTGTCTTCTTCCATTCGACTGAAAATGAGTTGGTAATTTATCTAAAAAACCGAAATTGATTCTAATGAGGATTGTATGAGCAAAACATAAACAAAAATGAAAATAAACCATCGCTGATCAACTTGAGTTGCCTCATGGATTCGATTGAATGCTAAAGAAATTTTTTAGTGGTATCAATTACGATAAATATACCGTTTAATATTGAGTCATAATTTTTGGCGATCATAAGTGCATTTGCTCATTCATTTTTTCAATTATTCGTTGCACATATCACGGCAAAAAGATTGACATTGTTATCAAATCATAAAACGCAAAACCTTCTCTTAATGATGCTATTTTCATCTGAATTTAATGCTGTCTTATGTACAGTGTACATTGTACACACGTATCCAAAATCGAATGCGCTAAAAATGGCAATAAAATCGCAATTTATATACGATGGAAAATTAAACGAAAAAGAATAACGCCGTTTTGTGGAAGGTTGTGTGAAATTTTTTAACAAAATTGTCGACAGTGTGTTGACTGTGTAGCTATGTTGTCGAAGCTAACACTCACATCATGAAACGTGCACTTTCGCATCCAATTTTGTGATTCTTTAAAAGTGCAGAATTCCATTTTGAGACTTAAAACAGCAAACCATGGGAAAATGGATTCATCTGGTACTCACTGTCCACACGGAATTTTTTTTGTTTTGTTTTTGGTATGTGTAAATTGTACGTGCATTCCAAGTGATCTGAAGGACTCGAAACAA